CTTTGGTTAACCATCTTTTTAAAGACAGATGTTTCTTATCCATCTAAGAGAACTTGCCACCTAATGCAGATATAGGACTGAAAAAAAAATTAACATATCATAAGAGGGACAGATAAAGGCAGAATGTCACAGTGGCCCAGTACAGAATGGACTGTGGGTGGGAGGCAAAGAAAGTGGAAACTTAAAATTCCCATTTAATTAGTTAAATGGCAGTTGAATTCTGATTTAAGTGAATATTAGATTTGTAGAAAGACAAGGTAGGTAAAAGAGCACATCATAGGAGAGGGCAAGTAATCTGTGTGAATGAAGGGAATAAGAAGCATCAAACAGGTAAAGCATTTCGTAGGCCTCAGAGCAGAGCTTCATTTCAATTTAATGTAATAGGCAACAGAGAATTCTTAATGGGTTCTTCAACAGGCCAGCAATAGAAGCAGTATTAGGGAAAGATTATTTTAACCCCTCTCTGGGTTGGAAAGGAGTGAGCAGAGAATGTAAAGACATTACTCCATCCAGCAATAAGAAATGAAAGGTCGGAACTCATGGTAAGATAGAGATTAAAAAAAAAATGAAACACGGATTCCAAAACATTGATGAGAAAATAAACAAGGTTTAGGGAAAAAAAGAGTAGGGAGAGTTGCGATGGCCACGTAGCATTCATAGGAATTCTACTGAAAGAGGGTAGTGCCTATTTATTTGGAAAAACTTGTTAAGAAATTATGATTCCACATATGTATGAAACTTCATATGGTCAAAGGGCTTTCAAGAGGACATTTAGTTGCTCGTTTAGTCCCCATTTTTCTCATCTGTGAAGTGATTGTGACCTCTGATCACACTGTAGAACATGTCCCTAAATAATCACATTTATGGGGGTGCCTGGGTGGCTCAGTTGGTTAAGTGTCCAACTCTTGGTTTCAGCTCAGGTCATGATCTCATGGTCTTGCGATCGAGCCCGCATCAGGCTCTCCACTCAGTGGAGAGTCTGCTTGAAGATTCTCTCCCTCTCCCCCTCCCCCTGTTCACGCACAGGTGTGTGTGCTCTCTCAAAAATAAATCTTTAAAAAAAAAAAAATCACACCTACCATGCTGGTTTAACTACCTCTCCATGTAGATATTCCCCGATCTACACAGTCAGCCAAGATCTCCTTGTGAAGCTCCATACTCACATGTCCATTGGCTTCTTAGACTTCCTGAGAATCTTAAAGTAGCACCTACATCTTGGAAAGTCTAATAAGTGAAATCATTACCTCTTTCCCTACACGTACTCCAGTTGCTGTACCACAACTCTCCATAAATCACACCATCATTTAACCGGGCAGAAGAGTGGAAATCACCCTTGAAACTTCCTTTTTTTCCCTACCTACAAAATTCCATTAACGACCATGAACTGATGAAATTAACTCCTTGAGGGGCGCCTGGGTGGCTCAGTCGGTTGAGTGTCTGCCTTCGGCTCAGGTCATGATCCCTGAGTCCTGGGATCGAGTCCCACATTGCACTCCTTTCTTGGCAGGGAATCTCCTTCTCCCTCTGCCTGCCGCTCTCCCTGCTTGTGCTCTCTCTCGCTCTCACTCACTCTCTGGCAAATAAATAAATAAATTCTTAAAAAAAAAAAAAAAAAGAAGTTAACTCCTTCAGAATTCTTTCGTTTGTCCTCTCCTGTCTTTCTCGTATCACTGCCTTACTTTAGGGTCATGATGGGTCATATCCTGTCTCAATTGGATGAGTCCCAACTGTTTGCTAATTAGATCCTGGCCCCACGGACCATGGTCCATGTCCCTCCATACAATACTTTACAATGCCAACAGCACATCCTTTCAGAAACAAATCTGATTATGTTACTCCTAGGAGGCTTAAGCGTCTTCACTAGCTGCCCCATTGACATGCTCATGATTCTCAAGTGAAAATACGGAGACTCCAGATGTGTTACTCCAGGAAGGCAAGGTCTTTTGGTTAAGAACCACTGCTGCTCTTTTCAGCTAATGTTACTGATAGGAATGGGCCCCTTTGGTGGGTTTACTGGGTTTACTGGGTTCAGTAGTGAAAAGAAAGAGAATGATCAACATATAGGAAAGAGCCAACTTAGAAGTCACCTGTGGGTCCCCAGGAGGTCCACCCTCTGGGGTTCCTGCCCATCTCTCAGGTCTCACCTCACCCAAGCCTTACTGTCCTTTCTTCCTTCCAACACAAGACTCTCCATTGATGTGGATCCCAAAGCTGTTGGGCTGTTTTGTGCTTTGCTATTTGTTATTAGTTTTCTCATTCCAAAATTCTCTTCTCCCACTTGTCTATCTGACAAATGCCCACTCATCTTTCCAGACTCATAGTAAATGTCAATGTAACCATATGTAATTTTCTCCACGACGTCTTTCCAAGTCTCCCCTCTGGCAATGATGAATCCCCGCCACGTACACTTCTTTTTTTTTTTTTTTTTTAAAGATTTTATTTATTTATTTGACAGAGAGAGAGACAGCGAGAGAGGGAACACAAGAAGGGGGAGTGGGAGAGGGAGAAGCAGGCTCCCCGCAGAGCAGGGAGCCCGATGCGGGACTTGATCCCAGGACCCTGGGATCATGACCTGAGCTGAAGGCAGTCACTTAACCAACTGAGCCACCCAGGCGCCCTCTGCCACGTACACTTCTATGGTCACACCAACAGCACAGTATTTCTTCTGTTTACAGGTCTGCCTTTCCCCTAAGGAAATGGAGCTTCCTTAAAGGCAGGCTCTCTACCTTATCATACTTTGGATCTGCAGCCCCCAGTACAGCGCCTGGTAAACACAGACCTCAGAGAAGTTTTATTAGTGACTGATACAGTATGTAAGGAGTCCACCAGCACTCAGATTCTCTGGAAAAAGAAACTAAAAATATCTGCAAGGGAGAGGGAAGTGGGAAAAACTGGAGATACAGATATGATTTTACACTCATGTAAGTCATTGTTCCCACATGTATGAGTTTAGGAACTAGGATTGTTAACGTAATAACTGCATGTGATAAACACCACTTGTTATGTTCTTACGTATCATTTTAAATTCTCTTGGTCTTTAAAAAAAGTGCTGGAATGATAAGATCAGTTCTGTAAAGTCTAACAGAGAGTACCTATTCAGGAAATAATATAATTTGGAATAAGCTGTTTTAGACTGTTTGTGATAAAGTCTTGATGCTCTATGTAAAATAATTTGTTTCTGAAAATAAGACTTCTGGGATTCACAATAATATGTAACTATAGCCATCCTGAAGAAAAATCATGACTCAAATTTATTAGTCCTTGGAAATTTTAAATTTATATATATATATACATATGTATAATTATAATTATTTTATTTATATTCATTATATATTATTTATATTATATATTTAAACATATATAATATAAAATTATGTATTTATTTTATATTTATATTTATATTATGTATTACTTATATATTTAAATACATAAAATATAAATATACATAAAATCATTTATAATATTATTTATAATTATATTTATATTTTATTGTATATTTTATTTATATTTATTATATATTATATATTTAAATACATATATACAAAATATAAATAAAAATAAAATATTGTTTATAATATTTTTAAATGATATAAATATATATAGAGAGAAAAAGAGCGAGAGTGAGAGAGAGAGAGAATCACCAAATTTCTTACACCTAAATTGTGTTAGTAAAGGTCCAAGTTAAAGCTAGAGAATGTGTATTTCACTGACAAAAAATTTTAGGTCTTTCTAATAGAGTCAAAACCTTAATAACAAAGATTTCACTTCAGTGACATTCACGATTTTACACTATATTTTTAACGCATCAGACGCAGCTACAATTATATTTATGTCAGAGTTGCAGTTTGTCAAGTAGCTTATTAAATTTTTCTAAATGCATGGCTGGGTAAATTTTGGCTTATTAAACAATTATAAGTTGTCAGTCACTGTAAATGGATTTCCTTGTATAATAAATATTATACTAAGCTGTTAGGGACTCTTTAAAAACCAGAAGTTAGGTATCCTTATGTAGACCTATTTCCATTTAAAATTGACAGGAATGAACTGGTGGTGAGAAAAGAGACCATTAGCTCTGAGGCAGAGACGGGGTGTCAAAGAAGGGTGCTGGAGAAATTTTGAAATCCTATCTCCTTGAAGGAAAAAAACCGCACAAGAAGAGAAGGAAACCCAGTGAATTAAGTCTAGCAAGTGTTGATTTCGCGAGTGAAGAGGCACAGAGAGCGAGTGGCATGCCACAACCCTGTGAGCCCGCAGAGGCTTGGTCAGAGACACACCTGCTGCATGCGACCTTTCACACATTTATAGAACGTGCCAGGAGGACTCCCTGGAAATGGCTTCCTTGCCTCTGGGAGAATGCCCTGGAGAGTCTGGTGCCCAGGGGAATGGCAGCTATCTGGAACATCACACAGAGCTCACAGGGCCTGTTCTTTCTTGGTGGCACCGCTGCTGGTATGGGAATGATTTTAGGGGTCCACTAAAGAATTTTTTAAAAATACATTATCTACATATTGTAAGTGTATTAGAAAAAAGAGAACTAGCACAGTAAACCCCTCATTTTGTGGATGCCATTACTCTGGATGAAGTTGAGTTAAACCAAAAACATTAGTGGACTTAGAAGTGTTCTAAAGAAAAATATAGAGTAAATAAGGATACAAAAGATACACAGTATAAGTAAACACACTAAAGGTGTTTTGCGAAGTCTTACACTTCTTTGGTGTGAACTGATAAAGGAGCAACTACTCGCACATTTGTGACAATGCATTTTTTGGTTTATAAATCAGGGACTGGATAACATGAGTCTAAATCTACCAAAGAAATAGTCTGTAAGTCTGGATCATGTTGAGGTTGCTTCTCTCTTGGAATGGAGGTGCCACGGAATGGAAACTCAGAAACCTCATCAAGAAGATTCCAGTGGACTGCGCTGATTCTGAGGCTAACAGGAGCTGCTGATCACATTCACATGCAGCACAAAATATAGGTGAAAATTCAAGAATACTTACTTTCCTTTTTTAATTGTGTTTCTGCCAAGCAGCGGATCAAGGACTGGATCTATTGTTTCCTCCAGATTTTCAACTAAGATGACATCTCCAAAGGCCAACGCAGTTTCAATGGCATTCAAAAACCTTAAAATTCAATCAGAATTGAGATAAATAAGCACAGCAAAAATATTCAAAATTATTTATATTAAATTATATTTGATTTAATGTATTTTTTTTGACAAGACAAACTTAGAGAAAACTGTTTCATAAAGTATTCAACTAGATTACATAGAAATTCATGATTAGATTTTGAGATGAATTACACAGTGATATTTTCCAAGTGAAATTCAAGAGTATGAATAAGTCCATGTGTCAATTAGTTCTTTTGACAATAACCATGGTTGAGACAAATGTAACTTACCCAAACATCATAAATTTAAATTCATTTAACAAGTCCTTTTTTTGATTAAAAAAAATCAAAATATATTAAATGTCTTGTGGTTTTGTCAAACATTCATTTTTTTAAACCTTTAAGTTCAGTCATGACAAGTGGCATATTATCGCTATATTTCATTCTCCCTCTCCAAAAATAGGCTCTCCCCCTCAAAAATAATTTTCCCCAAGAATTCAGATAAGCAAGGAGTACATTTATCTGTGCAGTGGCAGAAATTATTTCATTTTATATGTGAAAAGATAATGAAAGGATCAAATCAAATACCAGTAAATCTAAAATTATTCAATATTAACCGAAGACCAGCTATGTCCAAGACTTTATTTATCAGGCAGTATTGTCATGAGGACCCAATGACACAAAGTCTCAGAAGAGATAGAGTTCTCAAAGGCGATATATAAAACTCAACTAAGGAATTATCTTCAGGCATTCAGTGTTGGGGCTTGAGCCATGCTAAAATCCTACAATAGGCCAGGTATATATTCAGGAATAGGATTCTAATCCGCTGACCATTCTTGGGTTGCCATATGCCAAATGCCCTAACAGTCCCTCCTACTGCATTTTTGGCCTTAGGAAACCCACCTATTTCTCCACTCGGGGGCAGTGTTTGTTCTCATCTTCAACCTCATTTCATCTTCAGGTAAGTGGATGCCACCTAACAGAAATGCCCTTTCAACAAATATTTTATGTGAAACCTGAGCAAGCAGATAGACAAGGAGAGCCAGAGTGTCACGTTTAACAGAGAGGGGACCGTTTAGCAATCGCCAGGACCTCGTAAAAATCAGACCCAGTTCACAGCAGCTCAAGAGAAAGTCAGTCCTTCCGATTTCACATACCCTCTCTGGCCCAAATGGGTGACTTTCAGGTCTGTTCCGTACTTATTCCTGATCCACTTAATTCCCTGCTGTTGGGGATCTATCATCAGGGGCCAGCGCTCACAATGTGTCAGGATAGTGGCATTTTCGGCGGACATTCTGTCACTGGGCAGCCCCTCGTTATTCCAGGTGGCAATGGTAGCGTCATCCGTCAGCACGGCAATCAAGTCCAGGCCTTCGGTTATTGGGATGGAAACCTTGAAAATCAGAGTTGAATGCAGTCAACGGTCAGTGTGGCAGAGCAAAAGACTCCGCATGACAGACAAGAAAACGAGAGACCAAAGCCAAGACAACACATGCCAATTCTCTCTGCACTCTCAGAAGCCAAAATGAAACTCTCATTGTGAGATACAATTTGACAGTTTGGGGTTATTTACCTCTCTGAATTCTGTCAAATGCCATATTCAACAACTGGTTATTATTTTTTTTTTAGATTTTATTTGAGAGAGAGAGAAAGACATAGTGAGAGAGAGCACAAGTGAGGAGGAGAGGGAGAAGCAGGCTCCCTGCAGAGCAAGGAGCCCGATGCGGGGCTCGATCCCAGGACCCTGGGATCATGACCTGAGTCAAAGGCAGATGCTTAACGACTGAGCCACCCAGGCGCCCACATCTGGTTTATTATTGAGTCTGACTTCAAATGCAAGAGACATGGCCCCATGCAGACATTGATGGCTGCTCCCCCCAATGGGGGGTGCGGGGGACTTAGACACCAGGAAGGACCACAGGACAACAGAAAGGTACTTGCTCCAGGGGTTCATCACCCCACATGAGCAATGCTCAAACGCAATATCTTGCTCAGGCAATTCATCCTGTTGCACAGGCCAACACTATGAAGAGAGGACTTCTCTTCTGTGGATAGGTTAACGGAATGTATTCAGCCAGCGGCAACTCCACCAGCTCGCTGGCTGTGCCCAGGACCTCAGATTGCAGCCTCGTGTGCCCGAGCATGAACGGGAGTGGGGGTGGGGTGGGGAGGGAGGGGCAGAAAGCAGAGGGAGAGGGAGAGAAGCAAACCCCCTGCTCAGGGCTGAGCCCTATGCGGGGGGACTTGATCTCACAACCCTGAGATCGTGACGTGAGCTGAAATCAGAAGTCAGATGTTCAGAACTGACTGAGACACCCAGGTGCCCCCAAAACCCATTTTAAAGAGTAAGGAGCATTCTTTACAAAAGTGGACTTTACAAAAAATACATGAGATTATAGAAAGGAATTTATTCATTTGGTCATCCATCACCCAATATTTATGGAGCACCGCCCATGTAATAAACACTGTCTGGTGGCTGGGTGGGGGCTAACATGGAAACACGCCTCCATAAGAGAGTAAGAGCCCTACTTAGCGTGGGCCAGGGGGCTGTTGCAGCAGCTGGAGTCAAGACTGAGAGGTTGGCCAGGGATCTTCAGCAAAGAAAATGCTGGAAGAATTCTTACAATATAGAGGCTGCGATGCAATTTGATATCAATAAATCTAGGGAAAGTAGCATAATAGCCCCACTGTCTCTGACCACAATGTTATCTTAGAAATAAACTCTATCACCTACTGATATGAGCAGAGAGCCTTGGTATTGACACACGGTTTTCTTAAAGACACAAGAAAATTGGTATCTTTTAGAATAGGCATCCTCCTATTAGCAAGGGACCTGTGGCTTTAATTTCTTACCTTCTACTTAATGCAAACAACTTGGAACAACCGGAGGTTTGAAATAACTTTAATTTCTGATGCAAAAAGGAGTAAGAGACAGTATACATGTAGATCTTGTGTCCAAATTTGACAGTTTGAATTGTTTGAGCCCCTACCGGGCACACCTCTGACCCCCTTTGTCTCCTTCCCTCCCACCTGAGTTCAAAGAGCCTTGCTTCTCCTATCTGACGGTCATTCTACTACCTCGATTCTGGAGCCCATGCCCTCCCCATTTCTGGTGGCTCATCCCTCTTCACCCTTTTATCCTCCACAATTCCTTTTCCTTTTCCTCTCCTCCTGAAGCAAAGAAACATGCTCCTGTTTTATTCACACTGAAAAACCAACACTGCACGTAGCTCCGTGTCTAACTAGGCACTCTGCTTACCTCCTTCCCGTCGCAGGCAAATTCCTCCAAGAATAATCTGCCTTTTCCTTCTACTTCCTCACCTCCCACTTACTGTGTAACTCTGTGCAATCTGGCTTCTGGCTTGTCACACTTTCGTGGTCACAGAAGACCTTCACATTTCCCTATGTGAGGACATTCTCGGTTCTTAGCTCTTCTCTCCGAGTCTCTGGGGCTCTGACCATTCTCATGTTTATACTCTGGTTTCCCATGGCATCACGTTTGCCAGAGGTGGTCTCCAATCTTCGCTCCTGCTTCATCTTTTTCTACTTCCCAGCGCTGAGTCATTTCCCTTTACTCTGAAGTTCCTCTGATGTGATCTCGTCCAAGGTCAGTTCTAACAACTCCCTACACATCAGTGACTCCCAAATCTGACTCTCCACCCAATAACACTCTTATCCAGCTCCCTACTGGTCACGGACACTTGAATGCTTCCGAGACACTGTGCAGTCATCTTCCTGTTATCTTCATCTTTTCTCCCAAACCAATTTTCATCTCCGGAAATGGCACCTACACCTACTTACTATCTCCCCATCACTCCCATGTGCAAGCCAAAGCTTTGTTTTTAGCAGTCCTTCCTCCTGGCCTCCTCTGGTATCACTCCCCAGCTGGCCGGGTCCGCTGCCATCACTTTGTTCAGCTGTCTTCCGAACTGCCATCATAACATGTGGCCTCGGTAACAATGGTCTCTTCCCCTTCAAGTCACTGTTCCTTCTGTGCCCAGTGTCAGCTTTCGAATGTGTAATTCTGACCACAGACCTACCTAAAATCCTTCAATGACTCCCGATGCTTACGATAAAATTCAAACTCTGTTTCTCAGTTTATAATATGGGGGCTATAATGTGGCTCCTTACTAATTCTGTCATGTTCATCTGTATTTTCCAGTCTATAATGATATACCAGGGTATTTACAGTTTTTAAAGCTTACTTAACATTCTAATACTTAAAGCACTTGGAACTCTTTTTGTTTGCTATGAAGCTATGAAGGATAGGGCTAACTGTTGTTTTGCCCAAAAGGTTGGTTTGCAGTTCAATCACCATTCGTTGAAAAATCCATTACTTCCCCCACTGATGTACAATGTATATGTAAGCATATATTCCTTTATTTTAGAATACATATTGATAGTCTGGTAGTTCTTCAAAGGATTAAACAGAGAGTTACCATGCAGCCTAAAAAAAAACCCTCACTCCTGTGTATATACCAAAGATAAATCAAAGATGTCCATGCAGAAACCTCTATACAAATAATTCTAATGTTCACAGCAGTGTTTTTCATAATAACCAAAAAGGAGAAGCAACCCAAATGCCCATCAACTGATGAATGTGTAAATAAAATGTGGCACATTCATGTAATAGAATATCATTGAGGCTTAACAAGTAATGAAATCCTGATACAGGTTACGCGTCATGGATGAGCCTGGAAAACATGCCAAGTAAAAGAAGTCAGGCATCAAACGCCGCACATTGTGCGAGTTCATTCGTAGGAAGTGTTCACAACAGGCAAATCTCTAGAGACATAAATTAGACAGTGATTGTCTAAGCCTGGAGAGGATGGGGTGATTGGAGTTAACAGACATGGGGTGATGAAAATGTTCTAGAATGGACTGTGATGATGGTTGTATGACTCTCTGAATACACTAAACACTACTGAAGTGGATACTTTAAGTGGGTGAATTGCATGGTATGTAATTTACATCTCAATGAAAAGATATACTGAGCATCTACAATGTTCCAGGTGCCATTCCAGGACAGAGTAGTTAACAAAACATACAAAATCCTTGCTCCATGGATCTTACACCGTAGCTGAGGGAGAGGAAAGCTATTAACCACAGCAAATGAATAAATGAAATAACATATTAGAAAGTGATAAACATTATGGTGGAAAAAATGGAGTGGGATGAAGTGTGCTGAAGGATGGAAGTTATAATCCTATCTAGAGATACGAAGATGTTATTTGAACAAAGACCTGATGGATGGGAATGAGGTACTTTTATGTCCTGAGAGAAGACTTTAAGACAGAGATAACAACTTGTGCAAAGGGTCTGCGGTCAGAACGTATCTGGTATATTCAAGAAAGGTGGCCCATGTGGCTGCAGCAGAGCAGTGAGGAAAGACTAATAGGAAGTAAGATAAAAAGAGTAAGGGGCAAAATCACAGAGGGTTTTATAAGACTTTGTAGGATTTCTAGCTTTTGCTTGGAGTGCAGTGGGAAGTCATCAGAGGGATTTTCAAAGAAAATTCACTTTACCTGACTTGAACTTTTAAAGCATCACACTGGCTGACCCGTTGAGATCAGATTTTGGAGAGAAGCAACAAATGCAGCAACAGGGAAACCAGTTAGGAGATTTCTGCAGTTATTCAAGAGAGGGATGATAGCTTGGCCCAGGATGGGAACAGTGAAGGTGGTGAAAACTGGTCAGATTCTGAATAGATTTTGGAGGTGTAGCCTACAGAATTTCCTAGATGGACTGGATATGAGTGCCAGAGGGAAGAGTCACATCAAGGTGACTCCAAGGTTTTTGGCCCAACAGAAGGATCGAGCTGCCATTCAACAAGTTGGGAATACCCGGGTAGAAGGAGTTTTGGGGGGAAGGTCAGGATTTCGGTTTGGAGGTGCTGTATGTGAGACATCTTTCAGACATAGGAGTGAAGATGCCAGGTCTGGGCCACTGATATACTTCCGCAAATTACTGATGTGCAGGTGACATTTAAAGCCACGAACCTGATGAAAAGCAGCTCAAAGATTAAAGGCATTTCACCATTAAGGTTGAGGAGAAGAGGAAAAATGTAACGAAGTCCAAGAAGGATTGGTCAGTGAGGCGGGAGGAAGATGGGGAAAGGGGAGGTCTTAGAATCAAGTAAAGAAGGTACTGATGGAAAGATGGAGTGATTGATTGCATCAGATGCAGCCAAGAGTCAAGTATGATAAGAATGGAAAACAAACCGATAGACTTAGCAACATGGAAGCAAAATCACCCCAGAGGAGTCTTGGTGGAGTGGTGGGGACAAAAGCCTGTCCAGAGTGACTCAGAAAAGGGAGGGAGGACGTGGAGACAGGGGCTACAGATGACTCTTCTGAAGTGTTCGCTGTAGATGAGCAGAGAAATGGAAGAGTAGCTGGAAGGGCAGGGAAGGTTCAAGAGAAATTTTTTGGGTGTATCTGGTTTAATGGGAGAAATAACTACGTATGTGAATGCTGGTGGCAATGATCTAGTAATGAATTAGTAGGGAGGGAAAAATTGGTGAGAGGGGAGAACTGCTCTGGAATTATCCTTGAGGAAGGGAAAGGGGATGGAAACTAGTATAAACCCAGAGGATCACCCTCAGATACAAACATCAGCTGTTCCTCTTACAGCATCAGGAGGGAAGACATGGTATGAGCATACGTTTGTGGGAGTTTATACACAATTACATATTAAACAGATCAAATCTCTCTCGACATCCTCAATGGCTTCTGAACTCGATTCTAGTTTTCCCTTTCCCCTGCAGAACCACCTTGTTGTAATTATTGTAGTTTTAGAACACATTTTACTATCTTGAAGGACAAGTGCTTTCTTACTGTTCTATTCCAAAATTATCTTGGTGTTCTCAAAAACATATTCTTCCAACAAACTTCAGAATCACTCGGTCAAGTAAAAATATAACTTCTCCCTGGAGTTTTGACTTGAACTGAGTTAAATTTATTTCCTAAATTGGGGAGAATCGATCCTTTAGAATATGAAGTCTTCATTTCTAGGAAGTAGTAAGGATGGCTGACTAACTAACTTTATAAAAACGTTCCTTCCAAGGTCACCTTACCTATGGCAACAGGTCATTAACAAATGACATGCTTGGTTTGCAGGTTTTAAAAATCACAACAACCATAGTCACTTGCTGACTGCTTAACTTACAAACCATCTGAATCCCCAGGACACCTGAGCCAAACTGACAAGCCAGAGACACTTAGGGCACTTACAGGCAAATGGAGCTCTAGAAAACACCCTAATACAATGGGGAGAAATAACAACAGTGGCTTCTTGAGAGGACAGGACAAAGAAACACTTCTAGGGGAAAATTAATTGAAAAATTAACACTATTAAGCAATTTTAGCTCCTCCTGGCCCCTGGCCCAGGTTTCACACAGATGTGATCATCTTCCCACTTCGCTGTGACTGGATCTAAAGTAGGCAAGGTTAACTAGACTCAGAAACTGGAACCCTCTTTCCATAAGGACAGACAGTTGTTAGGTTTTATGGGGCACATTCTACCCGGTGTCTTAGAGACAGAGAAGACTCTTCCAAAGGAACGTCATTCATATAACTTGGAACCCTCTTCTTCCTTTAGCATAGCTATGCCTGGACAGAAGTGGAAGAGTAAGCTGCTCCCGTCAGGGCCTGCTTCTCAGTTTGCACAGGGCCTGTGTGCTCAAGAGGGCGGGAGAGAGCACAGGGATGATGGGAAACAGGCGTGAGGCTCCCTGAGGACAGTTGCGGGGCCACAGGCATGCCAGGCCCACGGTTAAAATGACTATGTGTTCAGCATACTGCATCAGAAAGCCGCTATTTTGCTTTGGGGATAAGTTTAGCATGTTGAGATGTTTTGGATAAGTCAATCAATTCTATTGTTTTGTTTGTACGACTTCTTCGAAACAATATTTTATTTAATGTTTGGGCTTTCAAGTAAGTGGGAAAATACACATGGGTTGACAGGAAACTTCCTAGAAACACACACACTAAATAATGCTCTATCAGCGATTCAAGACCCATTTTAAAATTAAATTTGAGAAGGCACGTTTTAAACTTAAACACTGTAAAATGACTGGTAGCTTAAGTTCCCACTGTCAGAACTATGACATGCCCCAAAGTGAAGAGGAACTGAAGCAATGAGAAGACAAGGTGAAGTTCAATAGTTTGGACAGATCAAGAAGAAGGTGAACTTCCCTATAATTTTGGAAAGAATGAGAGAGCTTTGTGGATGATGGAGAATGCAGAGGGGACCATGCAAGAGGACAACTGTCAATCTAAAGTAGTCACGGGGTGACCCAGGCAAAGACACCCATACAGAGGATCGAAGTCTGGCGAAGGTGAAACTGAGAAAAAGGGCCCGAGCAGAGTCAGGCAGCTGATACCCTGAAGCTCACGACACAGTCAGAGTTGGACGGAGCAACAGAATGCTTTATCTTCTTACGTAAAAGCTACGTTAGGGCAGAAATACTTAAAGAGAAGCCTTGCACTTTTGGGGAGTAAGAGAGATAACCTCTTTTAAAAATCCTCAACAGTACAAATGTTTGATACCAAAGGTATGTTAAAGCATTACAAAAGGATGGTTCTTTTAAAATTATCAATTGTGGAATGCCTTTAATAGTGAACTTTCCCTCCATCATTTCATCTGCATGAGCGCCGGACATGTATTTATGTCATGAAAACAACTATTGTGAAAATCGAGGCATTATTACCAACGCAGAACGTTACTATACCGAGAGATGTAACGATATCTTAAGGGCTTTGTCAACTGAGCTGACACAGTGTCACAGAGCAAACAGAGGTGTGGAAATCAGGAGGTCAGACTTCCTCTTCTATGGGACCTTAGTCACTTAGACTTCCGTGACTCAGTTTTCTCTTTTGTACAAGGACCATCATGAACTAGATGATTTTACATCTTCCAAATCTGTGATTTCACTTCGCTTGTGGGTTTGGATTTTTAGATTTAGGAGGAGTTATTTTTGCACTTGCATACAAAATGCTCACTTTTTATCTGAAAGTAGGTGTGAAAAAAAAAGTCTTTAACAAATAACCCATCATGTCAGGAAGAAAACAAAACTTCATGTTATACCATAACAATAACCCCAATTTGATTTCAGTTATCAGTTTTGTTAAAAGCAGTTTGCAACTGTATCACTAGAGTGTATAAGAAATAATTTATTATTTTTCATCTCTCTGGTGAAACCATCATTTAAACAAGAAACACTGCGACACACAAGAAATGTCTTTGTCATATGAGAATTTCCAGTCAGTCAGAGAGTCATGATAGAGGTACCAAAGAGCCTGGCATACAGACTGTTTTTTCTACTGAAACGCCAAGATGATGTTTCCAAATGCTGCCAAGGTAAGGAAGTGAGCTTACCTTGTGCTGGAGAAAGGGAACCCACTTGCAGTCTACCAGTTCCTGGCGATATGGTCTTGTAAAGGATCCAACATAAGACACAAAGGCTGCTGTAAGGAGAACATCTCCACAGAGGGTCTTCTCTTGAGCTTCAAACGATTTAATAGACTGACCCCAGCGAATCTTCTCTGACTGAAAGGCAAGATTACTCAGATGTAATTGCAGGGTGAACACCAACTAAAGAAATGCTTAATAAATATGACCACCTTACAGCTCCATCTTAGTCTACATCCTTCTGCAAAGCCTTTAGAAGGAACAGAACTGGACTGCATGACTATCATCATCTTTCTTACGTTTGAAACCCATCATTAGGAAGTGCAGTTTACTGCAATATGGCATTAGATCTTTCACATCTCCTTGTTGGATGCCCTAACTCTTTCTTCAAAAGCTGACAGTCACTTTCCCATCCCTCTGAGAGTGGAGGACCAAGAGCTTCGGCCAAGCCTGAGTGACATTAGGATTTCTAATGGCAGCTTGGCGGCTCTGCCTTCCTTCCACTTTGCAGCAATGATACTACACCGCCCTAGACAAATGTTGTTTTAAACATACTGGCTCTCAGCTGATTACAGACAAAGGAAAAATGACCAACACCACTCACATCAATTAATTAAAATGCAAAGCTTTAAGAGCTACCTATCCTGGATGCTATTAAAAATTAACACTAAACTCAGGTTATTTCTTTAATATAATCACTCTATCAGTGGAAGAACCTATAGCCTATGTAAAAAAAAGAAAGAAAGAAAGAAAGAAATCAGGAGGGTTTCACTAGTCTTGAAGACAATACACTCAAAGAATGCTGTTGAAGTCCTTCTATCTAGTTGGATGGCCATTTAAAATCTGATTTCCGGGGCACCTGGGTGGCTCAGTCGTTAAGCGTCTGCCTTCGGCTCAGGTCATGTTCCCAGGGTCCTGAGATCGAGCCCCACATCGGGCTCCTGGCTCAGCGGGGGAGTCTGCTTCTCCCTCTCCCTCTGCCTCTCCCCCTGCTCATGCTCTCTCTCTGTGTATCTGTGTCTCAAATGAATAAATAAAATCTTTAAAAAAAAAATAAAATCTGATTTCCAGGTTGAGTATGTGGAGGCCTTAATATTGGATTTAAATAAAACTGCAATAAATGTCTATGGATTGACTGAAGGACAGCTCACTAACCCACCGTTTTGATGCATGCTAAAATTAGTATCACATTCTAAGAACAAGCAAATTAATAGGTACTGAAAAAAATCAGCAATCTGATAGTCAAAGCAAAGAACCCCCCTGTGGAATTTAGCTCTACTTGTGAAAGAAGAGAGACAGAGCATAGAAAGCAAAAATGATGTTATGTCATATGAGACTGGAATGCCAGTTCCCTGCAAGCCACCATAATAACCATAATAACCACCAACACGGAGGTTGTGAAATTAGCAAGTGAGAATGGTTATCAAAGCTATTTTAAGATTGTCTCTTTGCTTTGCTTGATAAAGATCACCCCAAGTAGCCATACAAACACTAAGGAACTTCACAACTCTTTAGCCCTCGTTAGAGAATTCATTACCCTCCCTCCTCAGCTACCAACCATATATCCATTAATTTTGAAGAGAAATTTCTCATTTGCCTTTCCTCCATCTTTGTTGTCTTTGGATAGTGAATGATAAACAATAAAGTGCACCCACCTCATTCTCCAAAACAGCTTTGAAATTTGAAGATTTACTAAACACAGCCTTATTGGCTATTGAAATCGTCAATAATTTCACTATACCACCCACACAACATAAATCATTACTGACATTGGCTAACAAGGGTTTAAGAGTTGGAACATGTCCTGTAATAAATTTCTAGACAGTTAAAAATCACTATAATTTTATTCTAATGCATTATAGATTGCCTGTAATGTCATCCTGGCTGGGGTGACCCATTTCTAATTTTGAACAGCTGTTCAGCTCAGGAGTTAGTTAATGATTAAATATAAATTGCCTGATCTATTAGTCTGAATGGTTGAGACTGTAGCTTCCAGGTCAATGCTATATAGACAAAATCATCAGTCTTGATGCTATTCAGAAGTTAACTGTCTCCTGTTCTAGTCAGAAAGAATTTATTCTCAAAGGAAAAGGTCTGACGTTTTCAATTACTCCTTAAAAACGTGTGTATGTGTATACAAATATATATGTAATTTGTTTTTTGGCTAGTTAACATGCTTTCACCTTCTTTCCTCGTCTAAATCATCATGAGTAAGCCAAGCCTTTGGAAGACATTGCCGTGTGTCAGAGACACATGGTAAGCCTGCTCTTTACACTTCCTGGAAGTTTTGGACATCCCAAACCTACTACAAGGAAACAGTCAATTAAGCAGCACTTTTTTATTTTCGTAGGTACCTCAGAAGTGGTTAACACTTCAAACTACTTAAATCACATCCCCTTCGATGGGAACTCTTATAAACTCCACTAATGGCCACGGAATATCTCAAGTGAGCTAAGAAGAAAGAGTCAGTCTTCAGAGGGCTACAGAATTTTTTTGGTTTTGAACCCAGGAGGCTCCCCAAACTCAACCACTCACTCATTCAACAAATATCTATGGGTGCCTATGATGGGCCAAGGATTATCCTCTCTACTTGGGGACCAAGCGGTGCAGACAACAGATGTAGCTCCTGTTCCTGAGGAGCTTATATTCTTGTTAGGGGAGAAGACCTCCCCCAGAGTATACACATTCACGTACATACATACGTAAGTGTGTCATGTGGTGGTAGATGCTGTGAAGAAAACAAAGCCGACTAAGGGCAAAGAGAGCTATGGCATGGGGGGGGGGGAGGTGTACGGGCAGAGTGAAACCACGTGATAAGGAGAACTTTCAGCAGCCGCCTGAAGAAAGTGAGGGAGCTAGTGATGTCATGATTTGGAAAAGTGTAAGCCATGTGAAGGAAAAAGGCAGAGGCCACAGGTATAAGAGTGACTGACAGTATGAGGAAGAGCGTGGAGGCCAGCGAAGGTGGAGCTGGAGGGAAGGTGACAGACGTGGGGACAGAGAGGCATCTGGGAGCCAGATCATGCAGGCCAGCGAAAGCCTTTGGACTGTACCTTGATTTAGACAATTAATTATTGGAGACTTCTGGGAGAGGGAAGACATGAATGAACTTAATTTTTTAAATTACTCAGGTATAACAAGGGGGGCAATACTCCAGAGCTGAGGAGTGGGTAGCCTGAACCAGTGTGGGGGAGAAGGCTGGGATGAGGAATGGACTTCAAAGGCAGAGCCAAAACAATATGATGATGGACCGGGTATGGGTCATGAGAAAGAGCACAAACACTCACGAGTGAGTCCACAGCTTTTGGCTGTAAACACTGGAAAAACAGACTTGTACTTACTGAGATGGAATGCAACGAGTGGATTTTGCAGGACAGACCCCGAGTTTACGTACAATGAACCATGAGTGTCAGAGAGGGATTGAGTTCAAATTTGTAGTAAATTTTAACTAGATTTTTTTTTTTTTGAAGTCGACTTTCAAGGTTAGGCTGTCGCCCAGTCCAAACCGTCCTGACACACATCCTCCCCTCCTTTGTTGCTAAGAGAAACCAGATTTTCAAGAGGGGTGATGTGTGCAGCCCCACGAGATGAACTGTGATTGGCTAAGCCAAGGATGATAACCCCATCTGCCATCTTCCTGGCCTTCTTTGAAGCTAGATGGGGTCAATCGAGTTCTGGCTAAAGAAGGGTTAAGTGGCTGTCTGCTAGACAGGTTTCCAGGAAGACTTCAGATTTTCATGTAAAAGGAGAAGCAGCCAGCCGCTGCAGATTATTTTCTCTCCCCTGGAATCTGGAGGTGTAGCAGCCGTCTGGGAGCAGGCTGCAGAATGCATGAGGGTGAAGGACCACGGGCTAAGTATGGAGAAGCAGAAGGGTACAAAGAGATTTGGTGTCTGACCACCAATTCCCCAAATCAACAATGATAACTGCAAAAAAAAAAAACAAAAAACCCAGATAGACGGTTATGTGAAAAATAAATTCCCATTTGTTCAAGCCACTGTAAATCAACTTTCCTATCACCTTCGGTTAAATGCATTTCGAATAGTTCAATTATATACTTCTGGTAGCACTTAAATAAAAATAACAGCTTTACTGAGACTTAATTCACATATTGTGATATTCACCTTGTAAAGTACATCACTGAGTGGTTTTTAGCATATTCACAGACTTGTATGATCCTTCCCACTAATTTGAGCATGTTTCTATCACACAATGGACAAATTCTATACCTATTAGCAGCTACTCCAGACTCTGCCCCCTTGTCCAGACCCCGGCAACTGCTAATCTGCTGTCTCTGTAGCCTTGCCCATTCTGGACATTTCGTATACATGGAATCATGCAACATGTGGCATTTTGTGTCTTTTTTCACCGATTTCCATTTATTTTATATTTTCAAGGTTCCTCCATGTTGTAATATGTACCAAGACTTCAATCCTTTTTATGGTCAAATAATAATCTATTGTATGACTATATTATACATTGGAGAGCAAATAAAACCTGGGACTTCCTTAGGACAAAGGCTGCATGTTCTTCTAACGCTTGTGTTCAAACAGGAGGAATTTATTAAGAATTATTTTGACAGCATTTATTTAATAGGGGCGCCTGGGTGGCTCAGTCGGTTGAGTGTCTCTTGATTTTGGCTCAGGTCATGATCTCAGAGTTGTGAGATCGAGCCCCGTGTCCTGCACGTGCTGGGCACAGAGCCTGCTGGTCTCTCTCCTTCTCCCTCTGCCCTCCCCCCACCCCGCACCCTCTAAAATAATAAAAATCTTTAAAGAAATCTTTATTTAATAGAATAACCATTAACATTAGTATGTCAGTCACTTGTCAAAAGATGTCACAGGAAGAACAAACCAGCCAACCAAGCAGGCTTAGCTTTAAAAAATGTTCTGATGGTACAACTCAGTGGCAAATGTGTATTAAAAGGATCAGACAACAGTTCAACCCCACAGTTATCCAACACCTGTCCTCAGTTTCTAACATAGCCTAGAAAGCCCCTGAATTCATGGATCTATACTAAAAAATGCAAAGAATTCATCACTTCTTCCTTTCAGCCAGTTGCAACTACAGTGTGAGGGCTGATAATTTCCTTTCACTATTGATTCCCCATCTATTTAGTTATTATCGACAGGAAATAAAGATAAAATCCAAAAAAAAAAAGGTGATCTGAATCTTTTAGTTAGAATTTTGGAAGAAAAGGTCAACTTGCCTCAAGTTCCTTGACAAGCCTATTGGCTAGTTCAATAGTTTTGTTGGTTTGGTTCACCTCTTCTTGACATTGGACTTTCTTGGCTATTGCTTTTTCAAATGAAGCTGTGAGTCTGCTCAGATGTCGATCCAGATCCTAGGTAAGAGTGAAAATTAGCTTGTGAGCCATTGTTAGGTAAAATGGAAATAGTATAATCATCTTAAAGCATCTACTACCTTCAGGTCAATCAAACTGACCTCCCTGCCTCCTTCACCTTTGCCCCTGGTAAGCATACATATTTCACCTGCCTTCTGCCTTCAGAGTGTACACAGCCACTGGGGGGGGGGGGGCAGTGGACGAGCCCTCCAGACTCTCACACACCCTGGGTACACTGTCCCCTCTCCCTTGTACCCAAGCCTCATCCTCTGGTATCATCTTTATTCATAATAATGGTCATCTTTTGGTTCTCCACCTCCTGACTCTTTTCTTATTTCTCAATGACCCGTAACTCAGGCAATGAAGAGTGGTATTGATGACTGAGCCCCTCCAGACCTCAGCAACCTGACCCAGCCTGGGCCAGATTGTATCTTCTGGAAACGGGCCACTGAAACGCAGAGGTATGTCACTGCTTTTAGCATCAAAAGACCGGGAAAGAGGTGTACATTTTGGAGGGCTTCATACGGAGAGGGACCATGTTCAGGGGCACAGGAAAGCAGGGGAAAACCACGCTGGAGAAAGAGAAAGAAAGGGCAGCAAGAGGAGAAGTCACAAGGCTCTGGAGAGACACTAACAGACATTCACGGCAGCTTCCTGTTTCCTGGATCTCTTTCCTCCTGAGACCAAGTCACACTTCTTTCCCTCAGAGCTCTGTCACTCATCCTCATCTCCTTTTTGGCTTAAGGTTTTCTAATTAGATTTCTGTTACTGATAGCCAAAAAAACAAAAACAAAAAACCCCCAAAAACCCACCAAAAAACAAACAAAAACACTTAACTAAGATAACAGTACTAGGGAGACTCCTTACTACAGCATCTTGCTATCTGCCAAATTCTAACAATCCTAAATAAGATTTATAACACTGCTTTTGTGAGTGCCAAGTTCTAAGAGACTTTAATAAGCAAACCTGTAGAACATACACTATTCATCATTTAGAGATTGCTTACATTTGCCAATGACCCAATTATCATATCATGGTCATTAAAGCGGCGCCTCTAAAAGAAAAAGATGTACGGGTCCTACTTAAGATTAAGATGCAAAATAAGATCAAATATATGAGAATGGGAGAAGATCATCACACATCACCAGTTCGAAATCAGATTAAAATAAATAATATTTCAGTGTCTGTTTTAGGTCATTCAAAGTACTCGTGGTTCCATAAAATAGAGGAGCATATGTGAACTGTGGCATCCAACAGCCGCGTTCACATTGAGACTCCGCTACCAGCGAAGGGGCATCAAGGCGGACTGCTTGCTTGCCCTCTCTGTGCCTCAGCTTCATCATCTGCAAAATGGAAATAATGTTACCCAATTCGTAGGGCTGACCTAAATACACACAGAACTAAGGCAAAAAATGGTTTATATTCATTCCCTGCATAAAGTTGGGAAGGGGAGCTGGATGTTGGGAGACCATAGTCTCTTGCACTGGTTTCTGGGTCTCTTGTGAAGAAGCACGGGGAGCTTTTGTTCTGGATGCTCTTTCCTAAGATATCTGCATAGCAAATCAGGAAGACAGAGGCAGTGTTCCTCTCTGAGCAGAAGACAGAATTGTCTCCTGGGAAGAAGAATAACGGTAGGTTTCTTTCCAGGGGAAAGGCTGAGCAAGTTTAGTTGCTGTGCTCTCTATACTGAGGGCTCGTGCGCCTGGCATGTCTCAGCTGCGACACTAACAGGGGGAGGACAGCATCAGCTCATCCCCAGTGCATCAGTCCCACGGGGACTGGGGGCCCAGAGAAGCGATGCACGACATCCGTGCTGTTGGCTGCGCTGTGCGTCACGGGGTCCCCCGGCCTCTCACCCCCAAGGGTCAGGTCTTTCGCCCGCCTCCGTGAAACTAAGGCAGGCTAACTTGTTAGCTTGCAAGTAGCATCAAATCTTGGTTCCTTCACAGTTCTTGACAGGCAGGCCCTGGCCTCTCAGGTTCCAGAAGTAAATGGAGTGAGAAAGGAAGGCACACAGCCCAAGGGACCCAGCCCATCAACTACCCTGAAACCAGGGCTTGGCACACCTGAGTGTGTATCAGAACCACCTGGGGGGCTTGATAAAACCCAGATCCAGGGGTCCCCCACCACAATGTCTCATTCCGTCGGTCTGGGGTGGGGTCTGAGAATCTGTACTTCTAACGAGTCCCCCGGGGACCCTGCTGCTGCTGCTGGTCTAGGGAACACGCCTGGAGAACCCGGGGTCCCAACGAGAATGACTTCAGGTTTTCTTTATGGCCACCTTCAGCTCCTGTAGATTTGAGAGACACGCAACCTTTCTTCCACTCCAACTCGGCCAGCTCTTTTCCACTCAACCGTCACTAAAAGGCCACCTTTTAGCCTTACACTAGAGATCAAGAGTGAAAGGAACAAAAGCATACAGACCGGCACTGGGATGGAGGAAGGGCCATCACGGCGCAGATGCTGGTATCAGACACACCCCTCCTGTGCGAGGCAGGAAAGCAACAGGAGATGTAGAACCAGGAGGAAAACCCAGGAGGGAGGAAAACCCAAGAGGCTGCAGGAAACGAAGGCAAAGCTAGCAAACACTGTAATTTCACTTGGGCTCCAACATCCATCTAACCTAACCTAACAGCATCTAACCTAACAGCAACGGTGCAGAGGTACTTTGTCCTTGCCGTCACCAGCATGGCGGCTGCACAGCGAACGGAACCTTGGTGGGAATGGCAGAGACTCTGTTGCATTAGGAACTACTCTTCGGAAATCCATTTGTGGTAGGGGGATAGAGGGACCCATTCTTCATCAAGACATTTCAATTATTGCTCTGTCTTCTTTTCTCTGTGTCTGCAAACTTAGCTCTGAGGCTTACTGATAACGTGAACCTCTGCTTACACTGTGGGTCTCTGAAAACAACCGACAGGAACAATTCTATTCAGCTAGTTGCAGGCTGTGTCCAAAGGATTACTAATTTTACAACCGCAGAAATGCTTATGTTTAGGGTCCACATGTAGCTGGCACCCGCATCCCTTTTTCTATAAATTAAATTCATTAAATTGCTTACAACGGACATGAAGCCATTCACAGTAGATGGCAACTTTTTTAAGAGGCTTTGGTCAAGTTGACAGAGTTTTGAGCAGTGAAGGTAATTTTTCTAAAATGAGTATGCTTGCTCTACGTTTATCTAAATCAACAGTTTGCCTGTTTTTCTTTCGATAGTCACCAGGTATTTATTGAAGAGCATGTACGGTGCTGTAATAGGAAATGTGTGTGGATGCTGAAATGTTCCATACCTTAAGAAAACTTTTGGGGTTATTAACCATCTTATCAAAATAGCTGTCAGGAAGAAGACATGTTTTCATGATTGAAGAGTAAAATGGCCCCTGTCTCTAGAATGCATGAACTCTCGTCAGTCATCTTTATTCTTGTGCTCATGGTTCAAATTCTAGAGGATGAGGCCAAAAGTGGCAAAGTGTGGATCATATACCCAGTCCTCAGCTGGAGAAGGCAAAGGCATCTCTGGGAAAAGCCCTGAGTGTATCCAATGAGGAGGGACCATTTCCCCAAGATACATCAGGCTATTATCACCCCGAGAAGGTAGACTGGATCCTTGGGAGCCACAAATCACAAACGCCCGCCTTGAAAGGCAGCTGTTACAATCACTGTGTTACAGAAACAGAACCGAAGCCCACTTAGGCATTCCGTAAGTTGCCAGAGACGGACAGCCTCAGCACTCTGCCTGCGCTCCTCCGGGCCAGGCACAGTGGGCTCAATATCCTTCTTCTGGTTCGTTCCTCCTCCCCACCTGCCATCAGCCAGCCTGGCCTCCACTTCGCTCTCTCCATCACAGCTGCCCCTGCCTTAGTGGAGGCCCTACAGGGACCCACCGCAGGGCTTCGGACTTGTCTGCCTGCATCGGGACGCTTCCCTCCCTCCTGCCTCTACTCAGTTATTTAAAAGGTAGTTTAATCACACCATTAGCCTATTAAAATCTTTCAAAATTTCCATTTTCACTCGTCAGATAAAATTTAAATTCTGTAGCATAAAAGTCAAAGATGGTCTTTGCTCACCTCTGCCAGTTCATTCCTCGTCACTCTGCTACTCCTGACCTTCCCCCCGAATGCTCATCTTCCTTAGGGCTCTGGCCCGTTGAGTTTCCTCAAGTGCACCAACTGCTTCTTCCTTCTTTGTCTTTAGTCTTTGTTAGGAATACCTTTCCCAACTTACTTATCCCCAGGATTCCTAGGAAACTTTGGAAGCCCATGTCAAGTACAGCTTCCTTATGAAATGTTCTCTAATTTCTCCAGGAAGAATCCTTTTTTGTTGCCCCCTCACAGATATACATACTCACAAATGTACTTATAACCCTGCGCTGGAACGACTGGATAGATACATAGTTGTAAAAATAGTAACAATGACAGTATTTGTAGCTGATATTCTCTAAGCACTTACCATGTGCCCAGTTCCATGCTAAATTCTTTTTTTTTTTTTAAGATTTTATTTATTTATTTGACAGATTGAGAGAGACAGAGAGAGCCCAAGCAGAGGGAGCAGCAGAGGGAGAGGGAGACGCAGGCTGCCGGCTGAGCAGGGAGCCCGATGCGGGGCTTGATCCCAGGACCCTGAGACCGTGACCTGAGCTGAAGGCAGATGCTTCACCGACTGAGCCACCCAAGCACCCCTCCCTGCTAAATTCTTAATATTAATTACTCTCATTTAATCCTTATAACCCTATCTAAGAAGTGCACGCTATTACAATGCCTACTGCACAGATGAGCAAACAGAGGCTCAGAGCGGGGAACTAACTCATGCAGGGTGAAATCGTACATGATGCAGCCAGGATATCAATCCACGCAGTCTGACGCCAGAATCCTTGCCTTTAATCACCATGTGCTATGCTCCTCCTTCTACTACCAGGCCAGGAAAGACTTTTAAGTGCAGAAACCATCAACGTTTCTACTTTTTCAGGTCAGGGTCTGGCATACAGCAGAAAAGAGATATCTACTGAACGAGTACGTCAATGAGTGTATCGAAGAAAGCTCAAGCTCCTCTCTGCTTGCTTGGACTCAGACGTGACCCTTTCTGAGGGGGGAGGTACCATCTTTAGTGTTCCATTGGGCACTCACCTCAAGCTTCTTCCTGATAGCCTTGAGTTTTTCAGTAGCTGCAGCCAGTTCGAAGTTGGCTTGGGCTAACGCTTGCCGTTTGGGCTCCACATCACAGTACACCTGCAAATCCATATGGGATTTAACTCATGGGGTAATGAGAGGCAAAGAGGACACAGAACCATTCAATCCTACATTTGAGGGAAGCTTTGTCATTAAGATTTCTATCTCACCCGGCAATTTGGGTTTTATTTCTTAGCAATGGCACTACCCAATGGCAGAGCCAAAATTTGCACAGCCTTCCAAGTTCTGTCTGGTTGTTCACGATTGAGTCATTGATTCTGGACATGAGAGTTATAAATCCTTGCATAAAGTGCTATAGACATCAAACAACATTAAGATGCTACAGTAAGTCTGTCCTAAAATTTGGAGATAAACTTCCTATCATTAGAAACTGCAGTGGGCAGGAAACAAACTGAGTGTTGTTGGAGTGGGGGGTGGGGTGGGAGGGATGGGGTGACTGGGTGATGGACACTGGGGAGGGTGTGTGCTCTGGTAAGCGCTGTGAATTGTGCAAGACTGTTGAATCTCAGATCTGTACCTCTGAAACAAATAATGCAATATATGTTAAGAAAAAAAAAAAAGAAGAAGAAGAAGAAGGTAGCGGGAGGGGAAGAATGAAGCGGGGGAAATCGGAGGGGTAGATGAACCATGAGAGACGATAGACTCTGAAAAACAAACTGAGGGTGCTAGAGGGGAGGGGGGTGGGAGGATGGGTTAGCCTGGTGGTGGGTATTGAGGAGGGCACATTCTGCATGGAGCACTGGGTGTTGTGCACAAACAATGAATCATGGAACACTTCATCTAAAACTAATGATGTAATGTATGGGGATTAACATAAGAATAAAATTAAAAAAATGCAGAAAAAAAATAAAATTCCACATATAAGTGAAAAAAAAAAAAAAGAAAGAAACTGCAGTGGGGGGGCGCCTGGGTGGCTCAGTCGTTAAGCGTCTGCCTTTGGCTCAGGTCATGATCCTAGAGTCCTGGGATCGAGCCCCGCATCAGGCTGCCTGCTCAGTGGGAAGCCTGCTTCTCCCTCTCCCACTCCCGCTGCTTGTGTTCCCTCTCTCGCTGTATCTGTCTCTGTCAAATAAAATAAAAAAATCTTTAAAAAAGAAACTGCGGTGGGCAGGAACTATATAGCTCAAGTGGGGACCAAGTCTTGACTTTAAAGCAAAACTCAGTGTGGAGAAATTCTCTGAACCCAGAAAGGACCGTAGGAGATAGCCTCACAGTATTAACCGTGTTTGCACTTTCCAAACTTCTGCCAACTTTCAGGGTATGTTATCTGAACGGGTGGTTTGAGAATGTGGGGCACCCACTTTCTTCCCTGTTGGCGAGAGAGGAAGGAAAGGACATTTTCTCTTTTACAGAAAAACCACACAGAACACAGCCACTGTCTAGCTCCATGCTCATCTTTCTACCTATGGTGCAAAGAGAGCACAGGGGTCAGACATGTTCTTAGGGAGAGAGGCCATACGTCAACTACCACCTGTCCAAACACTTGCTCTATACAGGCTTCCACTGAAGAGATAGATCCATAGGGTCCCACTCCCGTGGGGGCCCCAACATAAAGGCTACAACCTGGTTTTATGAAAATCACTTTGGGACTGCCAGTGATTATACTTGGTATTTCCTCAGTAATTCTATTTTTGAATATAACATATAACCTTCCAAGAAAAAAAAATGAGATGGTTCTTCCAAGTTAAGGGCCATCCATTGTTCCCTTTTTACATCCAGCCATCTGCAAAGTACTGGCAAGACAGGTGGTAGGCGGTGAGTACCTGATAAATAAATGACTAAATGAAATGATCATCTCTATGCAGCTTGAAAATACAAACTTTAGATTAGACTGTAATACGGTCAGAAGGGTATTTGTTGTTAAAATACTAAAGCAAAAAAAAAAAAAGCGGGGGGGGGTACTATTTCCTCATCTCATTAAGTCTACAATAGATGGTGTCAATTTCTGCATTGAGAGCAGGGATTGAGTTGAAACATGAATTGAGACCTGCGGTTGCTTTGAGTCAATGCAAAATTAATATTTATTTATTTATTAAAATTTTAAAAAGATTTTATTTATTTGAGAGAGAGAGTGAGAGAGTGAGAGAGTGAGAGAGCGCACAGAGGGAGAGAGGGAGAAGCAGACTCCCCGCTGAGCAGGGAGCCCCATGCGGGGCTTGATCCCAGGACCTGGAGATCATGACCCGAGCCTAAGGCACACGCTTAACTGACTGAGCCACCCAGGGGCCCCGCAAAATTAGTATTTTAACGTAAAGAAATATAATTAATCTACCAGCAAGTTTTTATCTAATCAAATCAAATTAACTGCTATTTGATCTATAGTAGCTGGTCACTCTACCCTAAAAGATAGTTTCAAACATTTCAAATATCCTCCTGTGTAGAACTCTGTTTAGTCTGACACTTTTGGATCTCATTCTTAGAACTTCATCTTATTTAGGTAATTAAACTTCAAACTATTTTACTTTTTTTTTTGCCACTACAGAAATTAGTATCTTGATGGTCCTTGCGAGTAACAGCGATACCCAGCGGAGTAAGACTGATACCTCATAGAACTTCACGATGTTGATGACCCAGGCACACAGACCAGCTGCTGCAAAGGATTTGGTCCGAATCAGGCTTGGATTGAACTCCGGGTCTTTCAAATACTGCTCATTTACTACTTTTAGACAGTTCTCTGGAATGTGCTCTTTGTCATAGTTAATTAACGCTTGCAAAAAATCATCAACCTGTAAAGCAAAAAGGCTGATTGCAATGAACCCATTTTGGCTGCAGAGAAAATTCCAAGATCAAAAGTTAAAACCAGCTTTTAGGACTCACATTACAAAGGCAAAATTGGCAAGCTGCATTTATCCTACTGTTTGACTTGTTCAGTCTTTATGGTATGAAGTAAGAATTAGCAATGGACACTTTTAAAATCTCTTCTATCCCAGGGTAAAATATTCAGTCCCCACACAGGAGCCATTCACATTTTGAAGAAAAGACAGAAAAGAAAAGGAAAAACACCTACCAAAAAGCCCCTCTGCCTCACCTTCTTGGGCATTAGTAACATTTTTCCAGCATAAGAAATCCATGTAATTTTCTCCCTCCTACACTTAACCGCTTTCATCATTTTGCAAATAATTAGCAACCTTCTGAGTGCTGCTAGTGTTGACTTAAGTATGCTGTGACACCAAGGTAACCCCCAACTTGGCAAACAAAAATTGTAAGTCTAGAGCACACGCGGTAGATTACACTCGACGAACGCAAAGACGATTTCCTCTGGTTTGAACACCTTTTGCCGTCAAGCAGGACCATGGTACGAGGAAGAGCAACTGTGGGGATTTTCATCTTGCCAGGCTGTCTGATACCTTTCCCATGAAGACTCTAGCTGCTTTCCAACTCCGGTCTTTAGGCACTCTGCCCCGCGGAGCCAGGAGGACCATCACGGCCGCGGTAACATTGGTAACGGCATTCGGCGGGTTGGGAAAGGCTTTCAGCTCAGTGAGATTGACCTGAAGAAAAGCACAGCCACACTGAAGGGCAGGCAGGTCTGGACAAGAGCCGGGAAGTTAGCAAGCTGGTCATTGGGGGCCTCCTCCCTCTTCTTGTCCCACTAGTCTTGGCTTGGCAGTTTTTGTTCCCCACAGTGACTCCATCTTGGGACCCCAGGAGGTTCAGTTCTCACCGGACACTTTCCTGATGCTCTGGAAGCAGCACTGATTTTTTTCGCTTCCCCCAAATTCTCCATCTGCTATGCCGGTCCTGTGGAGCCTCGCTCACCAAACCCGGGGAATTTTATATACCAACTCTTTGTGTTCATGGGTTCTATCCTACCTATGTAATAGATGTGCATTTTAACCAGGCCCTCCCAGAAACATCATCCCTTGGTGGAGAGTCTCTTGGTTTTGTTTTTGTGCACAAGAAACCTCTTCGATTACTCTACGATGACTCTCAACTGGGAACATGGCCATGTAGGCTGAACCTATTCTCTGCATAACTCCCTAATCTCCTCTGGTCAAAATCTTGATTTACCCCACAGTTGGTATTAATGTTTGTATGAACTACAAGTATTAAGGCAAGTACTTTGAGGCAGGAATTACTATCTTTGAGCAATATATGTAAGTTCATGATACAGGATTTACAAAACTACTTCCTGTGATTATTTCATGAGCTACCTAATATACTCTTGCTTATAAAACCCTATCACATGTTCAACCTGGGTGCTTCTCCCGCTGTCCCTCCCCCCAGCTCATGCTCTGTTTCTCACTTTCTCTCTCTCAAATAAATAAAATCTTTAAAAAAAAAAAAAAAGGAAAGAAAAAGAAAAAGGACTTGAATTATTTCTTTGAAGGGCAGTTGGAGTCTGGATCCTTTACTCTTTGAGGTTGAATCTTAAGAACCTCAGGCCTGGTTATTCCCCGGGATACTCCCCAGAGGCCTAGTGGAACCTGAGCACAAAACTAGCTGCAGACTCCTAAAATACAGTGCCCACAATTCCATTTTTCCTTATAATACCCTTCTGACTATCACACATTATTTTCTCTTAGGGGAATTTGAACGGTCAATGAGGTTTTGCTAATAAGCTGAAGCTAGGGAAAATGATGTGGGCCAAACCTAGGTATCTCTGTTCCTAGCGCATTGTTCTTTTCATGAGGATCTCTCATTAATGCCCCTTTTTATATCCCCAGGAAATAAAGAGTCTGCACTTAGTTCCTAAAGCAACACACAATACGAACAACCGGATTTGGGCCAAATCCAGCAGCTAACAATAGAGCTGCCTCTCATGAAAGTATAAATCCCACGGTATTGGAAGTATTCAAAAGGAGACTGCTTGTTGCAAGGGTGTGGAAGGACAGACTCCCAGATGGGAAAGGAAGTCACACTATTAATGATGACCTCAAATGCTTGTTCCCACTTTAATATTTCATGTCTCTTTGGTTGCATGGAATCCACTCTGAGTTCACTTATTCAAACTCTGAGAACCTTTAAATACTATGTGGAGGAATCCCACGAGCCAGGCAATCGTCTTTACCCTGTTGAGCGTGTTGAGTGCAGCCGTTGCGGCCACGAGCGCAGGCTCCGCCTTGAGTACGTCAACCTCACACTCTCTCTGTTTCTGGGACACTTCAGTCTGAATGGCTGTCACCTAATCAGAGAGGAAAGAACACAAACCCGCAAACACACATCGTCACCTTGGATATCGCTACTGAACAATGCAGGCTGACTCCGATGCGCTGCTCAATCATTCCTTCATCTTTACTTTCAACAGGTGAGGAGTCTGTCCTAAGGATGAATTTCTCTCAGGCACCGTGTACACACAAAGCTTCATATATGCACAAAATACACTCACAAATCCCAACTCAAACGGACTCAAATATTGAAGTGCCCCAAGAAGGGCTTTGACTAATTCAATTATAAGGTGCTAATAATAAATTCAAGACTGAGTGATTCCTGAGTTCTTCCATTTTCTTTTCTTTTCTTTTTTTTTTTGCTAGTCATTTTTGGCTTTATTTTTGTGTTTTTAAAGTTTCTTTTTTTTTAAAATTATTATGTTAGTCACCATACAGTACTTCATTAATTTTTGATGTAGTGTTCCATGATTCACTGTTTGCGTATAACACCCAGTGCTCCATGCAATACATGCCCTCTTTAACACCCATCACCAGGCTACCCATCCCCCCCACCCCCTTCCCTCTGAAACCCTCAGTACAATGGAGTATTACTCAGCCATCAGAAAGGATGAATACCCACCATTTGCATCATCATGGATGGAACTGGAGGGGATTATGCTAAGTGAAATAAGTCCATTTTCTTTTTGAGAGTGTCCAGGCTGGCTCAGTAACATAGATAGAAAATATTCTTGTTAGAAATCCCTATCTAATTTTTGTTTACATTTGCCCAAAAGCCACGTTGGCTGTTCTTTAAGAATAGATGGGAAACTTTTTTTGTTCAACAGAAGATACTGCGCTTTCTGTGTATGCTTAACCACCAATCTAATTTTTATAAAGACTAATAACCGGTGTCTCTAAGGACCTGATAAGAAACTAGCTAGGGTAGCCCAGTTCTGTCTTCGCAACACGCCAATCACACGGATGTGCACCCTACTGTCGAGGTCCAGTGGCTCCTCTCTCACGCCAGACAGCGCGCTGCATCCGCCTCCTGAAGTGAGCATGTATGTTATGCCTATAGGAAAGCCATGCTGGTAAACCCAAACCAAGACCAAATGAGAAGCTTTGGAGTTTTTACCCTCCTCTTCCTCATAAGACACATATAAAATTCAAATGGCCAGATGAGTCAATTTTGATCCTCAGCAGAAACTGGAGGTCCAAAGCTGTGGCACTGGGCACTGAGACCCACTCACCAGGGGGCATGGCTTTAGGGATGGTGACTGGGGCATGTAATGTGTGAACAAAAGTGCATTTCTTCAGATGTGTCTGGAATGAACAGGTTTAACTCTACCATAAATTTAACAGTGCTTACAACAAATTATGTTGTCTAGTACAGCTTTATTAGCGGTAACTACCATTATTCTGATTAACCATTATTTTGCTGTATACTGTAGCTTTTATGAACATAAGTGGTTCAGGGTAGAGATGTGATCTCCTGCCAATCCGTACACAGCCACCGTTAACGTAAACGACCCTGAATGCTTACTGAGAACTACTCCAACCCCCTCGGAACTGCCAAGAATGGACCATGAAAATTCTAAGACTAGGACACCGTTGGTGTGCTAGTTTCATCCGCAGATGAAAGGGAGCGGAGAGGTGAGTGAGTGAGTTCGTACCTCAGGGGTATGTACCTTCCATAAGGATACACTCAATCTAAAAATGCTGTTTGCTACCATTTATAATAGCATCATTTTAAATTGGTTTCAAGGTCACAGAGTTTTCGTACTAGAACAGTATTTCTTTTGAATGCTGTTTCGATGAGACTGGGTGTTGCTATTCTTCTCCATCTGACTCCCTTACCGTTCACAGAGTATTATTCGTTTGGGTAATCTTTATAACCAGAGCAATCTTGAACATTAACAAAAACCCACAAATGAAAATGAAAAAAATACCCTAGGCTGGTCAACTTATTTCTCATTCCCAATTCCCTCTGCGCACTTTTGTTCACAGATCCTATGCCATAATCACCGTGGGGACTGCGCCCAGTGCCACGGTCAGGACACTCAAAGTTCTGCGGAGGACGAAAACTTAACTCCTCCTGGCCTATTCAAATTCTAAGGTACAATAATTTACATATTTCAGGTGCAATGATACTCGAGTGGGAAAAATGCTTTGTAGATCTTAGTGACCTGATCAGCCTCAGTGTGCAATTTCCTCTGCCCCATGGCTCCTGGGTAGTAGTCAGCAAGGTTCAACTTGGGGAAGGAGGGAAGAGCTACACACATCACTTGGAATGTGTGCTTTTTCTTGACAGCTGTCTGTTAAAGCAGAGTTTTGGAGATACTCCCATTCTTGGATACACAGAACTTTTCTACTCTCTATTCGGTCAAAAGCTCCTTGCAAATGCTTCATGAAATTTAGTGACGCTCACACAGAGAGAATTAAGTAGCAATAATGGCTTGTTATGAGCTGAAGTATATCCACCTAAAAATGAATATGGTAAAGCCCTAACCTTAGTATGTCAGAACATGACTGTATTTGAAGACAGGCCCTTTAAAGAGGTGATTAAGTTAACATGAGCCTGTTAGAATGGGCCCTAATCCAGTCTAATGGGTGTCCTTTTAAGAGGAGAAAATCTGGACAGGCACGAGGGACACCAGGGAGGTGTGCACGGAGAAAAGACCATGTGAAGCCACAGCGAGAAGGTGACCATCTGCAAGTCAGGAGAGGGTCCTGTCTTGAGAGGTTCCTCCCAGAGGGAGAAACCAAACCTGCTGGCATCCTGATCTTGGACTTGCAGCTTCTGGAATTGAGAAAAGAAGTTTCGGCTGTTGAAGCCATGCAGTCTGTGGTATTTTGTTCTGGAAGCCCGAGCAAGCTAAGACACTGCTCTCATCTGCCTTCAGACCATAGGAAATCCCAGACGATCCTTCAAAATCCAGCCATTCCCACATTTAGAAAAGAAACACATAAAAAACTGAAGACCGGGCGCCTGGGTGGCTCAGCTGGTTAAGCGACTGCCTTCGGCTCAGGTCGTGATCCTGGAGTCCCGGGATCGAGTCCCGCATCGGGCTCCCTGCTCGGCGGGGAGTCTGCTTCTCCCTCTGACCCTCCCCCCTCTCATGCTCTATCTCATTCTCTCTCTCAAATAAATAAATAAAATATTTTAAAAAACAAACAAACAAACAAACAAAAAAACTGAAGACCGCTCCAAATCAAGGAGGATGTCCAACTTCTGAAGAGATTATATTAGCCCCGCGATGTGGAAGGTACTTTAACTCATGAGGATTATACTCAACAAAGAAAGCAGTGTGAAAGGGATCAGAGGATCCTTAGAATTTGGAACTGGTAAGTCAAACGAAGATGCAAGAACTAATTTTCATAGGTTTCATGGTGCTTGTGTTCCTTGGTCACTGCCGGTCATGTCAGTGGCTTGAATGGCTCTTGACTATTTCAGGAATCTGAAGGAACAATTTCAACCTGCTGCGCTACAAGGGTTGTCAAGATGCATGGGAAGGCGGTCAATATCTGCTTAGTCATATTAAATATGGCAATGTACTTTTTAATAACTTCTCGTGTATTAAGCCTCGAGATCCCAACTTCATAGGATCACAGTGCCCACCATAATATACCCATTTAATAACTGCATACAATCCAGTACATTGCTGAACCTATGATAAATGTGAACCTATAGCACATACTTGATATTGATTAGTTCCTTGACTCGATATACTCAATAAACTCCTTCTATGACCAATTTAAAATAATTCATTCCACCATCACCTCGATTTGATTTTTATCTTAGCCCTAATCACTAACCCAAAGTATCTTGTCCCTTGTCTCCTGCCAGTCTTTTCCATTATAATGTAAGCTATGTGAGGGTGCCTTGTAGGTCATATATGCTCAAGAGCCTAGAATAGTGCCAGGCCAAAAAAAAAAAAAAAAAATTGCTTGGTATCTGCTACTGATAAATTAAGCATCATGGGTAAAGTGAAAATATATTTCTTTGTATAGGTTAGATATAAAAATAGTATTGTTGGGGCATCTGGGTGGCTCAGTCGTTAAGCGTCTGCCTTCAGCTCAGATCATGATCCCAGAGTCCTGGGATCAAGCCCCTCATCGGGCTCCCTGCACAGTGGGGAGTCTGCTGCTCCCTCTGCCTGCCACTCCCTCTGCTTGTGCTCTTTCTCGCTGTCAAATAAATAAACAAAATAATTTAAAAAAAACAGTATGTGTCTTTTTCATGTTTGAAGAACTTCATAAAACAACCAGTCAGATGAGTTCTCATTTGCTAGAACATTTTTTTCCTTCTTTGCAAGGATGATTTTGCCTTAGGAATTCACGTGCAGAATGTGAAAATACTTCTGGAGTATTTTAAGATCTCTAAAAGGTATTTGTAGAGATAGGTTATAATAGAACAATTACCAGAACATCACTTATTTATGTAATGCTTGAAAAATACCCTTGGGTGGAAATGGCTCGTGATAGTCACATCATATGTGATACCTAATCGCTTAACATAATACACTTTTTAAGGATATCCTCTGCTTATCTGAAACTCAATAGAAACAGTTATTGCCAGAATTAGGAATAATATGCCCATCAGCCATGCCAAATGTAGCTTATCTTCAACTTTAAAAACAGTTTTTTTTTTTTTAAACTATTCAGCGTTTTGATTTTTAACATACATTTCAACCGTTTAGTTGTGCAAGCGACACATAAACATGCTCAATACCTATTAGAAAAAAGGGAAAAACAACTCAATTGTCTATGGATGAATGGCAACCCCAGTGGAAAGCTCAAGTCTTTCTGGCATCATAAAAACAGAAGAATAATGGCATAAAAGCTACTGATTCAATGGCTACAAGTGTGGTATAATTTATAATTTTTCATCAACTAAGCCCTGATTACAATCTTTTGTCTAAAATGAAAGAATTTGTCTCAAAAAACATATTCAATTCTTAAACAAATAAGATGCCTAAAAATGAAATACCTTCAATTTGTGGCCAAAGTTCTGGTAAAAGAAGAGGACAAAGAAGTTATTTCAGAATTGCCAGTAACCCAGGTACAAAGAAAGCAGAACCTATATAATCTTAAAAGTAATTGTTTCCAACAGTAAAACGCAATACAAAATGCCAGGGCCCTCAACTGAATCAAAAAGAACAAATTTGGCTTAGGATTTAATAATCAATTCAAGTTGTATTATTAAAATGAAAAATCTGAAAAACCATCTTGCAAAGTGATGGAATGGGCTTTGTTAACAATTGAGTTGTTCAATTTGCCTAAAAACTGAAAACCTTTAGAAACCTCAGAGGTGACTTCGTGACCTTTACTGTATTACAAATCAGCCTGATGTTCAAGATCCACATCCATTATATGCTTGAATGAGCTCAGTATTTATTGTTCTTGCGTATCATTAAAAGAGCTAAAAGGGTGGGAAAATGCATAATGTAAAGAAAGGTCAAGTGGTAATCATGGTGTGAAATGCTGTTCCATGTGTAACTATAATAATTCTTTAGCTTTTATGCTCCCTGGAGAGAAAGTTGTTCAAAATTGTTCACCTACAAAGGTTTATTTTGTGCTCAATATAGCTCAGCGCTCTAACTGGTGGAATGAGCCTGACCTTTCGCTCCTCAGCGTCAGCAATGGCCTTTTCCCGGCTCGCTTTCTCCGTCTGGAGCCCAATCTTTGTGATCAGAGCTTCGGCATCATCATTTCTCAGTCGCAGCTCATCTTCTTGAGAGGCCAGTCTGGCTTTCAGATCTGCCACCTGAAGGCAAAGTCGGTATGTGGAAGCAGCTTCCGTCCATAAACAACAAATAGCAGGCACGGCTTAGTTTTGGTTAAATGAGCTCACAGATGCCTACCAGTCTGCATCTTTTCCTTCTTTCTACCCTGTTCTGACGTCAGGCCCGTGTGCAAAAATACAGCCCCATTCCCCCCACCCCCCTCCACAGAGGAACACACAGAGTCCTTGTTTCCAGGGGTTTTCTGACAATGGTCATTTATGCCGGCACCAACTAGACATGTATCTTCTCCACCCAGTCTGTGTAGTCAGGGCCGTGCCAACAGCCACGCCAGCCAGAGCACATGTCCCTCACAGCCCCGGGTTTTCTGGTCCTGCAAAGCCCAGGCTCAAGACAGCAGAGGCCAGAGGAAGACTTGCTTGGAAAGACAAGCTGGGGAAACTAAGGCCTGCACTCTCCCCCAGAACCTCACTAAAGGCTCAGAGAAGCTGAAGGCATCAGGACGCCCTGGCTGTTAGCTATCAGTTTATTTAATCCATTACTTACTTCGATGGAAATGCCCACAGGTCTCATCTCTTCCCACAAAATAAGAAACAGTCCTCTTAGCTTCTTCCACCTCATACAACATTCAACTTAGTACCTACTACAGAAAGACAAACCACAAGCGCCCCGTGGGGATCGGCTGGGCTGTGCAAAGCCTGGTGAGTATCCTGGGTGGGTACTCCTCCTCTCGGCTCCCCAACTCAATAGCCTTACTCAGCTCTTGAGGAACTCAACTCTTTCTGAGGCATCAACAAATTAATCTGCTCTAAAGAATGATCCTGCCCTTTTAGCGTTCAGAAGGTACCACTAGGTTCCTAAGTGTGAGGATTGTGTAAAGAAAAGCAGAAGTGCTGGAAAACAAGATCTCATTACTGCGGCCGAGGACTCCTGTAACCCCCACCTCAACACAGTCAACTTGCCCTTTGCCCAAATGACACAACTACTACTCTTACTGCTACCTGTATGATTTATTACAGTTTAAGCTAAGATGGATTTTTTTTAGCCTCTCTGTGAACTCAGGGTAATAATGCACAGTGATATTTGCTTGTCTGTTCCCTTTAGCCATGTGAAACTTGTCGTATATTAGACTATAATCAAAAGAATCATCCAAGAGACTATGAGGAAACGGTTATTTCAAGCCCTGACTTCAGTTTCTAAGGAAGCCGTTAGGTCTGAAGTATCTAGTGACTCAATCCCTGGAGGCGAAGCCTTATCTATGAAGAAAAGGTCACGAGGCTATCTTTGATGACCCAAGCTGACATCTAGAGAGGAGATACGTGGCTCTAACAGGAATTTATGGCTTTATTGCAGTGAATAAACAAGGCTGAGTTTTAGACACATATTTCAAATGGCATGGATATTCTCCTCTGAGTAATTACTGAAGGCAGGTCCGTAGAGGACGCATGCTCCAATATGAAGGCGTTCTGTTCCACACACAACCTGATCTTATATATTATAAGGCTTTCCAACTGCCCACACAGGAAACTATGCTTCCTTTCCATAATCAATAGAAATTTTTAGAACTCTTAGGGACATATTAAATATTCCAATCACTCTTCCGATATTGAGAGCATTCCATGCACTAATACCTAATGAAAAGAAATCAGCAGTAGTCCTTCAATGAAGACTTCACGTATCTTCTTCTTAGACTTTCTGCCTATTGTTTCTAGCCAAGGGGAAATGAGGAGACCCAAGCAGCCCTGAACTTGGCAGACACCCTGAAGAGCCAGTCCCTTTCTTTCTTTCTCTCCACCGCCTCTTCTTTTTCCCTATGGCTGAGAGGCTGCCCCCAAGAATGCTGCTCTGTTTTTACATTCTGAGCTCTGTTATTTGGGAAGGGAACACTAAGTGTGACACCATTTTTTTCCTTGCCAAGGGCTGGCCCACCAGTATGACCGTTCAATTTAGTCAACGCTATCATTTCCTGGGGCAAAGTCAAGGGGTCCAGTTTGGGACATTATTCAAAGGGACATTAATGCTCTGGGACATAGATCTCTTGCACTCAGTGTCTTCTAGCTCAACAGGACTCCTAGGCCAGTCTTCACTAGGAAAAAGAGTCATGATTTCAGTGAGATGGAAGTGGAGAGATCGGCAGAGAGAAGAAAAAGGAAAGAGAAAGAAGGCAGAGAGTCAAAGAGTAAGGTAACATGTACACAAAAACAGTAAAAATAAAAACTTTTTTTTGGAAAGAAAAGGGAAAGATGCACAAATACAGATATACTCTTTGGGTGCTTCCCAACAACTATTCTTTGCATCATTAGATTCTGGAAACTGTCCTGGAAACCTCCTCACTCTGGTTCCTCTTTCCCAATCGTGGTCCATCTACCCACTATTCAGCACACGTGAGTGGTTCACCAAGAGACATTCCTGATTTCGAAATGAAGGGCGCAGGGGCCAGGAGGTGCTTTGGCTGACAGAATGCGTGGAGGACGTGGCCAGACAGGCCTTCAGAGTGAAAGGCGCCACCGTGTGCTCCCCCAACCAGGTTGTAGCTTATTTCTAGCCTGGGCACAGATAGGCCACGCGTCATGCTTGGGGAGAAAACCGGCCTAATCTCTTGAAAAGCAAAGGACTATGACCTAATGACAATCCTCTGAAGAAGCCCGCTGCAATTCCTGGCCTTGAAGGGACCACCAGGGAGAGTTGTTCCCTTTCCAACCCTAGAGCCCAGATGGCTCAGAGCAAGCTGAGCAAGTCTCCAAAGTCTCCATATTTTCTTATTCTCATCTTTTTCTCCCTTGGTCATAGAGGCAGCATGGGGCTATGGACAACAGCTTTAGAATCATACAACCCTGGGTTCAAACTCCAACCTCACAGTTTCCGTGGCCTTTAACGCTCTAAGTTTCACCTATAAAATTATAGTAGCAACACCGACTTCATAAAAATGGTTAGTTTTTACCAATGAAATGAGATGACAGATGTAGAGACCCACACATGGTTAACATCGGGAGGGTGTGAATTCTCTCCCGACTTACTCCTGGAGGTTAACAGTACTGTCCTTCGAGGCAGCAGGGGCCTTATGACTGAGGATGAAGACTACCCTGGACACTCTGTTCAAAGAGAGATTATGGCCAAAAGGAGATGAGACGCCAACGTGGGAGGAAACGGCTATACTTTGGGACCTCACACAGAGCAAACCGTGTCGTGTCATCAGACTAGAAATAATGCGCTCACTGGGGGGTTGAGAATCTGAGACCAAAAGGGATCCTACTTCCATTACTGTGTGACAAAATTCCTACCAATAAATGCAGGGCACCAAAGCAGGCGGATAGAAGATGGAAGTGAGCCGTGCACTGAGTCAGGCCAACAGGTGAAGGGCTCTCTCCAAACCAGCATGAGAGAGTAATTGGCCAATCCCTTTCTGGACTTACAAAAGCATGAATAGTGCTGTTTTGGTGTCATTCAAGTGTACATTTTAGGATTGAGCATCTTATATGAATGGGCTGAAACGCTGCTTTCCAAGTAACTACATATTTTTTAATTTTAAGAGCATACATTTTACTCAGTAATAACACATCCTGATCATACCTGAGAGGCTGTGGTCTTTAGCTTTTGGATGCCATTCACCAAGTGCTCTTTCTTCTCAGATACCTCTTTTCGTTTCTTCTTCAACAGATTCTTAAACAGTGATATTTGTTCTAGAAAACTCTTCGGGGTGGTATAGTTGTATCTTCTCTCATTCTGGTAATACCTGGTACTCATTTCATTCACGCTAGTGTGAACATGGGCCATGAAGAGGCTAATAGAATCTTTGTCCAGTGGCTGAAAATATAAACACTGTAATTCATATGCAATTCTCTCAAGTTAAAACAAAAATGTAATTTAAGAAAAGAACAATCAACAAAATTATGCAGTATTTTTTTTTGTCTAAAAGCCAGAACAAATTACAGGAGGTTCTGGGAAGACTTATTAGTCTTTAAGAGATAACCACAGGATTAGAGAGGTAACAATAAAAAGCATTCAGCTTTGCCAAGTAGAGCAAAGGATTTTTATGCAATCCACACACCAAACCCACAAGTCAACATATAACACAAACACGGCTTTTCACAACTTGATTTTTACCTATCAAGTGTATGAAAGAAAAAAATGGAGAAACTGAGACACAGTACTCTGACAAGTATTTCTGGTGTTGCTTTCAAACTAAACTATAGCAGTCTCTCTCTCTCTCACCGACACTCTCTCTCTCTCTCTCTCTCTCTCACACACACACACACACACACACACACAGAGCTGAAACTGAGAAATACAGTTTTATAAGAACCCAGGTGGAAACAAACAGGATGGTAAGGTATAAAAGTCACTGCTTCTGGGAGAAAAATGCCATTTCTAATTCTCATTTGGAAAAAAAACAACAAACAAAACAGAAAACAAACCAAAAAATCGAGTAACTTCCCTTAGAAGATTTACTAGAGAACCCCCCACTACACCACTCTTTCTGTTTTGTCCTCTATGACTTCTGAAGTAGTTAACTTTTTAATTTGTGGAGTCACATCTCCCTCATTTTAATGATTATTTATTGCATTCTGTACAAGATGAACCAGGTTCAATTAATCAAGGGAAGCCTAAAAATCAATTAATATGAATTAAATGAGCTACACCAACTCTTAGGAAAGTCACACATAATTTACCAAAGTGTTGTCAATAACGCTCAGACATCTTTGGGAAAATTGCACACAAGTGGCTGGTGATGCAGTTGAACGTTTCCAACCTGCACCATTAATATTACAACCAGGATGTGAAAAGAGACAGGCCAATTCTTGTTGGTGAAAAACAACTGCTCCCGAGCAACTAGGTCTAAACACTTAGCTTTCCAACCTCATGGAAAATCCGTGAATGGGTTTCAAATGTGCATGTATAGGATTGTCCTGCATATCAAAAACCCCCCTCGCTAGTAACTGAAATAATGTTTTTAAAGCCAGAGTTAAATATAGAATGATGCAAAGCCTGAATAGTCTTTATTCTCTAGATCTGAGACATATGTGTATGTTACCCAATAGTGGACTCAGAGTCTACACTTCCAAGGAAGTTCTAAACTCCATATAAATGAGATCCCCTGAGGGATTTTTAAAAGAGCTTCACTGCAATATAAACAGGGATAGAAATTCATTCCTGTCCTATCTTGTTTTAATGAACCAAAAGCGAGCACACGTCCTTCCACAACATAAATACTTCCCTGGCCAAGAACGACCTCCTCGCGTGGGGCGGAGGTCGGTGGGAGGAGGACCTGGCCTCTGCCCAACCATGATCCTTATGAGGAGGTTCCTAGGCTGCCCTGAAAAGCTCTCTCCAACAACGGTTTCATTTGTAAATCTGGGATGGAAGAAGTGGCTTCCGGGAGAGCTGGAAGTGGCCCGAGACAACTTGTCTCAATGGGGCAAAATCACTATTGTTATCGGGCTTAACAAAATGGCACAGCATGGGAGACTTGCAGGGCCAGGGAGCAGCTGGTTGTAATTCACACTGTTTTTCAGAAAACTCTAATCGTTCCAGAACAGACCTCTTTGATGACTGGTCTTCCCTGCATTCTCAATTTGTCACTTTTTCTTATGATAAGGTCAGTAGTGACAGCGCTTCTTGACATTAACAGCTGTGGCTTTTAAAAGGGTCATTGTAGAACTACTAATTGCAGTAATTTCATTAGCATAAATTATTTATTCTGCCATTCATTTACCTCCAGTTTTCTTTTTTTGGTGGGGGGGGGGGTTGCGGGGAGGATATGGCTGCTGGTGCTGCTGTAGAAAACGAAAGGCAAGGCTGTATTTTTCGTTTTTAGAGATGCAAGCTGAGAGCACCGTTCCTGCTACATTTGGCCCCGTAATGACAACCAGGGGATCCGATTCTGTCGTCATTTAGCGGCCAATCGTGGTGAAAGCAGAAATATAAACAAGCAAAGTGCCAGTATCACACGGTTATAAATCCAAGATTTCTCCACTACGATGCCCCGGAAAACACTGCTGTAGCCAAGGCAGCATCAGATATACCCGGGAACGGCTTTTTGTCCTCCCAGTTAGGAAGAGGTTTCATTTTCACTCTCTCGCTGGGCTCACTGTAAATGCAAAGACAAATCGGCTATTTGGGGTGACGGTTCTCAAGCGGTGGCAGTCGCTGCCATAGCAAGTCCCCCAGCCACCTGACGGTTGCAGCAAGTGCCCAGGATGGCCCCGTTGTTGAAAAGGACGGACAGCACAATTCAAATGAAAACCAATCCCGGAGGCCAACACCAAATCAAATATCCTGGGTTATACAGGATTTCACACCTGCCCTCGACCAGCTGGTCTCAGGATTATACTGGTCTGTACTTTTACATTCGGACTTTCAAGAGCACTGTCTTCAAGGAGAGGGAGAAGGAGGGACAACAAAAGAGAATGGAGACGAAAGGAATACTATGTCTTAAGTTTAACTTGGGATCGCGTTGTAACGTGTGATGTCCTACACCTAACAGTCCGCCTTGAAAGTTGGTCTCAGAAATTATTTCTGTTTATTTTTTACAGTTTTTTTGGAAGCACTGGTGATATAGAAAAAACTGCCCGTATTTAATATCTGTTCTTTTATAGTAATCCCAAACTGCTGGGTTTCAAAATCTATTATTTGTACTTTTTAGCTCCTTTGGGGGTGCTCAGTAATAGAGACTAATTAGATACTGTGTTTGTAAAATTGGCTTATTAAATAAAGAAAATGTAATGATACACGAAATGAGCACGCTGCATTTGAGCACTTCTAAGTTCCTCAGGGTGCGGACTCCCTCTGAGGAAACGTGATCCTGGAGGCCGCCAGGGAGGCTGGGTTTGAATCCGGGGATGCAGGGTAGACTCCTGGTTCTGTATAGTCGGGCAAATGATTTAGTCTGTCTCTTCTTTTCCTTGCCGTCCTTTTTCAGAACAGTCAAACTCCTCTGCACGGGTCCTGAGCAGGATTTAAGACTGGGTTCTGGCGTCAAAGGGCTGAGGGGCCCTTACCTGCTGACCGATCTTGTGCCTGGCCCCCATCCCCTCACCTGGAAGCCCAGGGATCCCTCCTTAGAAGGTCCGTGAGCAGAGGCGGTGGGCATCGCTGCCATCAGCGATGGGAACAGCGCAACAGTGTTGGTCCCGGGAAGAGGACTTCTGTCGCACTCAGCAGCACGGGAGTTAGAATGCAGCGCCCGGCAGGTTCCTGAATCACATACTGGTGTCTTGTTCTTGCCTTTTCTGTTTGTGTGTTTTTACTTGGTCTGGTGAATGCATTTTGTTAGTTTGCTTGAGTTTTTAAATTTTTGTCTCTAATTTTCGAGGCTAATTTCCAAGGCCAAAAGGCAAGATCCAATCCAGCATAAGCCAGCTGTCTTCAAGAAGAGTTTCCAGTCGCTGAAAAGGTAGCCTCACTGGTTCTCTGACACAACGTTCGAACAAAGAAGCAACAGAGGACAGTGGGGGCGAGGAGGTGAAACGCAACCCAGCTACGCCTCCCAGAGCCAGCAGGACAAGGCAGATGTGGTAGCTGGTGCTGGTGAGGCCAGGAAAGTCACAAAGCTAAGATTTGGAGGGACCGATGCCTCCGTTTGATTGACTTCGACTTTGGGCTTAACAGCAAGTCCAGGTTTACGGGCAGCCATAATCAGTGGACCCTACTTTCAAGGTAGGGGGGATTCCTGAAGTTTATCTAACTGCAAAAACCCTGGAAAGCGGCATTCTACCGCTTCTTGCAATTCTGCTCTTAATTTGATTCCTGTGCACAGAGAAAGAAATGCATGATGAACGGTGTATTAGTGCACATGCACAGGAGAGGTGGGCTGAAGAAGAGGGAAGGATGTTAACAACCACACGGGCCTTTCCTCATCTGTCTGAATATAGGCTTAAGCCAGTTAGAGATGTAGGCCGATTCAGGATAAATGTGATTGCATTTGCTTCTGCTTTGATCTCTTAAAATGACTTCAGTACTCCTCAGGTTGAGGAGATTTTCCTCAAATTCACAGAATTTCTACTGCACAAGGCTTTCTACTTCTAAAATTCATACTGAACAATCCTCATTTGTATTTCAAAGAAAAAACTGCGCTAAAAGTCAGTAAGAAAAACACTGCTAACATACTTATCACTGACAAAGTGTTGATGACTGTTCTTCATGCTGTCCCTACCATTTTAAAAAGGAACCTAGGGGGAAGCACTGAAGAGATCGGTCTTTATGTACAGCAGTAAAGTAACTTTCCTCTTTGAGGGGACGCTTTTCGCGATCGGACTGGCAAGTGCTCGTAAAATATGCCATTCATTTGTTACCAGACCTTGCAACAAGTTCAGGATTGGAGAGGTGGAAGTCTGTAGAAATTAATGAATTTCACTGAAAAAGCTGATGATATTGAACTTATGGCATTATTCAGTTGTATCGCATCCAAAGGAGGGAGAACTTTAACTTGTCAGGTGGCCAATATGCTCAGAAAGGACGGGTCCTCCACCTTGCTCGGATCTCAATGAGAACAGAGACTCCTCCCAATGCAAATCTCACTCCTCAGTCAGAGTGCTCACCTTTTCATTTCCAGGCAGTAATTTCTGCTTTCCTCAAGCCCAGCTCTCCAGTATGTCTATTACTCACTTTGAGTCAAAAACCAACAACACTACTTATCTTTTAACACCTGTTTCTCCTGCATTTTCCCCTGCGTGTTCCTATCTGGGACCCATGCACCTCTCGTTCCAATTTTAGTATATGTGCTGCCGAAGCGAGCACCCCACGCACCTCTCGGAAAGGGCTCCTCCCAGTTACCTCCTCACAGCGTGTGCAACCCCGCTCCCAGGGATGCCCAGGGTGCCTTTCCTTCTCTCCCTCCCCACACCACATGCCCCCATCTGCACTTCCAAACCTGAGGAGTGAGAAGTGTATGTTGACACAAAGCCTTCATATTAATACCTGGTGATACTTAAGGGTCAAACTATTTCGGTCATCTGCCAGCTCTCATTTAGTTCAATACCAGGTAGCAGAAAAGCAGCACAAACCTTTCCTTAGACACAGGCAGCGCACATCCCTGGGTGCTAAGCGCGTCCTACTAGACGAGTCTATGCCAACACACACAAAACCACTTGCCTTTCATGAATCCTTTCTCGGTGGCTAACGGGGGTCACCTTGGACCTTACACTTAGCAAATAAGGTCAATAACTAAGAAGTGCCTAAATTATTCAGATACCGTTCAGTCTTAATGGTGAAAATTCAAACTAAGAAAAAATGATCGAATTGGTGCCCATTCAAAAAATTTAAAAGCTATTTTTGACCTCTGCAGAAAAGGCACCATGTATTTTTAGAAGAAGATAGACACGTTGCCCTCTTTATGATAATTACTGCTCCGAAGCAACAAATTGGGAAGGCGGGAAAGTTAAATAAGCACACTGCACTGAAACGAAATCATCTGGCTGAGCTCTTTGCAGGCATCATTCAGCTCAGCAGAAATGGTTCAGCGCTTTTAAAATTCCTATTTGACAATCAGCATCCTATAGGAGGCGTCACGACACCACAAGATAGAGCTTAGCACCTGCCAGGAGGCCTCTGGCCTGAAAATGATGCAAGTCCGGCCTTATCCAGCAGATGTCAATGGTCACTGGCGTATCAAAGCTCCTTCACTTTTTGAAGTGGCACCTAACTTTGCAGGACCAAGTCTGCATCAAAGAAGTAAAGGCAAGAAACTTAAAAAAGCACCGAGCCAAGCACTAAGTCAAAGCATGCTACTCGCTTTGGGTTCCTCCCATTTGAGAAATTGATATTAATATATGAAGTGCACTGGTCTTTAGCAAACCCGTGTGATCACATGAATGGTATAAAACAGAATTATGAAAGATACATACTGATTCTCTAATCAATTGGTATTTTGAACCCTTTTTATAATGATTAGGAGACAAAACCAGGCCCTATATATAATTCCAATAATGCAGTGATCCTAGCAAGAGCTTGCGAAATGTGCGGGCTTAATAACTGTCACTATTATTTGTCATATTTAATGTGTTTTCAGATTTTATTTTATTTTTTAAGATTTTATTTATTTATTTATTTATTTATTTGACAGAGAGAGACAAAGCGAGAGAAGGAACACAAGCAGGGGGAGGGGGAGAGGGAGAAGCAGGCTTCCCCCTGAGCAGGGAGCCCGATGTGGGGCTTGATCCCAGGACCCTGGGATCATGGCCTGAGCCGAAGGCAGACGCTCAACGACTGAGCTACCCAGGCGCCCCTGTTTTCAGATTTTAAAGTATAAAATATTTCTGGCAGACTTTACTTAATGCTAGTGTTAGTCTCCATTAAAATGCTGTTCCTTGGGCTCTTCAGAAAAACACAGTGAATGGTGAAAGCTGGGGCTCAGACAGAAATTAACCACTTCTGGGAGTATCTCCTATTCCACTTACCTATCATGAGAACAAATTTACATAGATTTCCCCAAAGGTAAGAAGTGCTATGCAGTGCCTTCTGACCAGTGGAAAAAAGTGAAAATCACTTAAAAAAAAAATCCAACTATACATTCCTATTATTCACTCTTTAGCCAGAAAGCCAGTTGTCACTGTTTCCAAGGTCCAGGTAAGTGCATCCAACGTTGAGTACAGAGACAGGCAAAAGAAAAACCTTCTGGATGTGGAAAAAACATCCAGGAACAGAAGGAATCATTTTTTTTTTCATTTCCTTAAAAGATTTTATTTATTTATTTGACAGAGAGAGAAAGAGAGCACAAGCAGGGGGAGCGGGAGAGGGAGAGGGAGAAGCAGGCTCCCTGCCGAGGAGGGAGCCTGACGCAGGGCTCGATCTCAGGACCCTCAACTGACTGAGCCACCCAGGTGTCTTTTTTTTTTTTTTCATTTCTTTACAGAAATGTTTTTAAGTGTGTGAGAAAAGGAGAGAGGAAAGTAAGCATCTAAGTAGATTAATGGACATTTCAGAAGACAATAAACCACATTATAATAAAGCTACCCATAAAAATAATAAGCAATAAAGCTAGTTGCATACAAATCATACAAATAATTAGGTAAGTATGCAAATATGCCCAGATTTCTAACCATCTGGCCACCAAGAGATAGAATAGTCAACAAAACGTGAAAGGATTCTTGGGAGAAGTGATAGGCTCTTGGGATGAAGGGAGGCCAGAGGGGGTTGTCTCTGCATGCAGACACTTCCAAGTGGAAGCAGACATCATTCCTTACACAGCCCCGACTCTATTTTTGGCTCCGAGAATCACTTTCAATGTCTAGCCTTATCGCTCAGCGGAATCAGAAGACAAACCTCCCGGGGCAATGTTCACAACTACCACATTTCCAAGCTATTTAGTCATGAAGGTGCAAGATACCAATAACCTTCATTTCTAGGAAGCCTAAATGATGCCTTCGTATTTACATTCCTTTTTCCCCTCTAAGTGGGGAAGTGTACTGGAAGTGCTTTTTTTAAAACTTTATGCAAACATTTTAAAATGTAATTGGATCTGCAAATTTCATTACAGTCAAATGACAAACCTAATTTATAAAACATAAACCCATACAACAAAGATGCAGATACATTATTTGACTTAGTGACTGCTAAATTCATGGGGCTGATTTTTCACCCATCCATACTGTAATGAGAAAAATCAGCTAACTGCTTTACTTTGTTAAGATCAAGAATTGCATGACTATGAATGGCTACTTTTTTGTTTGTGGACTTGAAGGATTCATATTCAGCAAATCCTATCATGACTCAAGGAAGTCATGATCCTGGCTTTCTGGTGAGTCAGGCCACATAACATGCTTGTATGCGGTATGTGCTCATGTGTGCACAGACATCTCAACCTGGTACAAAGAGGTCAACTACCATATTCCATAGAATGTAAACAAACAAAGATGATCTTATCTCTAATAAAAGGGATAACTTTTCTATAGGAGATGTATTTTGGAAGTTACTTCTTTACTGAGGACTTTTGGTCAGAGTGAGTGAGTATGCCTGTGTGTGTGTGTGTGTGTGAGTGTGTGGGAGACAGAAAGACAGAGAGATTCAGAGGCTGACACAGCATACCTCAATTCCCTTGGTTTCCTCAATGAACCTCCTGCTGACTGAGACCAGAGCCTCCTGCGGCCACGCATGAAACCAGTCAATAGCCGTGCAGTTAACTATGGCTGGGAACTTCCGAGCTCTCCCTCTCAACGTGTGACCAACGGGAGAGAAACACAGAATGATCTGTGGAGACATGGGGGCAGGGCAGAAAGGGGAGGGTGATGAGTGAGCCAAGAATTACATTGCAATCCTAGACAATGAAAGCAAGGAGCGCAGCCATGCATGACATGAAACTATCCTAAGGCACTACGGAGGAGAAAGCAACATTAACCTCCTTGCTAACCGAAGGATAAACCTCCCAGGTGGCTGCCCCATGGAACATTCAGAAACACTGCTGTGTACTTTCCTTCAAATTGGTCCCTCTCCTTTTAAACATTTTTGATGATTATCATTAATAATGAGAAATGTGTTCTTTTCTATTACACAAGTAACAGTGTAGCCATAGAAAATAAATATCCAAACCAAATCACCATGATAAAATAACACCAGTACTTTCATCTTCTGTCTTCTTCCATTCTGTAATTCGTCAGGTCCAGTAAAACTTTGTAAATCACTTAAAAACAATTTGTATCATATCGAATGTTTATTTTGTTTTCATTTAAAATAAACCCACTTGCATTCTTCACCTTTTTAAAGGAATAAAAAATTCAGTTTATACATGCTCCTGGTGAGAAAATTTTAGGTTTCTGGTTCAAACCCGAAGATCTGTGTATTTGATGATTTAAGAGTTAATTTATATCTGATTAGGTTTCCATGCTCTCTGTAGTGACACAGGGATTCGACCTGGAAGGAGCACCTGAGCTTGGCTGTGGCGGGGTCCACAAGCTGAGTGAGGGGAGACGAAGGAGGCTGGCTCTGAGTGTCCCTTCTGGGCATCTCTGAGTGTCACATGGCTCTCAGATTAGAGGCCCTATGTGAAGTGCCAGCACAAAGGAGGTGTTCAGGAAGCACTCCTTTCATGCTCTCCCTTCTCTCCTAGGTTCCTGTGGACTTGAGGGCACTGGGGGTAAGAGTGACGCCCGCTGGGTTAAGGTCTGGGAATGCCACCCATCCTGGTTTCCTCTTCTCTAGGAATGGCTTGGACTTGAGAGAAAACAAAGCCTGGAACTCTCTCACCTCAGTCTCTAACCCTTTGAGATCAGGCAACCAATGAAATCATTTTTCAAAAGGTATGCTATTTTTTCTTAGAACATTTAAAAAAAATTCACATCCTAAAAATCTCCAGCATATAGGAAGCCATATAATATCTTATTTAACATGTGTGTTCACTATGTTTATTTTACATACTATGGCTCTTGAAAAACTTGATAAATCCTAATATTTAAAATGTTCAACAGTACATAAGCTGACTGATCATGTATTCATTATATGCGAGAGTCTAGTTACAAACTGAATAACTGCTCTAAGAGTGCATGTACTGGGTTAACGAACTTCAGTTAGAATGCAGAATTTTCACTTCCATCACAGTTCTTAGGTTTCTCCCACCAGCCTTCCTTTCTCTCCCCAGACCTGAATATTTCTTTCTGTCCTAGAAGTTCGGTTTCCACACCCAACTTCTCTCCCATTCCTGGCAAATTTAGAAGCTTCATTTATAAATGATTGTAGCCACGGCAAAGGAGGGAAAAAAGGATCCTTTTGCGATCTTCAATATTTCCATCATTTCTACACTTACTGCATTTCCCTTTTTGGTACTGGCATATTACCAGGTCTGTGGAAAATGTTAGAAAACAAAGTACCAGAACCATGTGTGTTTAAGCCTCAAGGAAAAATACTTTGAGTTAATATAATGGTATAAATTCATTATTTATTGAAAGATAATACAGATTTCTCATGGAAATAATTATTTTTCTTTTCTACAGTTTTACAGCTGAAGACATCGTTCCCTAGGTTATTTATTACGGCTTAAATAAGGATCCTCGTAATGCCAGCTACATTTTACACAGAGGGCGGTTGGTAGGCCATCAGTGATTCTCGAAGGATTATTAGGTGCTGGTTAGAAAAGCAAATTCTTGGACCCAATCTAAACCTAAGGAATCAGAAACTCTGGATGGGGCTTGGCAATCAGTTTTCAACAAGCCTCCAGGTGACTCAGACACCTGCCGCTATAACCTTCTAGTTTAAAATTTTCTATGGGAATATTTAAATTGAACACTTAACATTTTCAATGCTTCTGCAGTTGGTGGAATACTCATAGAATGTAAGTCTCCTTCTATATAGAAAGTGAAAATGAAAAATTTAGAGGATTTTAAATAAATTAGATAATCATGAATAACCTAAATTCTATCATCTAAAACAGACCTTGGGAACTAATTTACAGAAAGATGCTTGGTTACTAGTATCTCCTAAGAAGGGAAAGGCCAGTATCACACCAAACTTGAGTTGTGCAATTATTGACCCAATGCGTTAATAATTTCTAGTTTTGCTAGAAGTCTAGCACAGAATTTCTCCTGCCATCCAGCTTTCCTTGATAGTAGTCCTATGTGAGATTTTTCTGAGAGCCCATGCTAATGTCTGGAAATGGGTGGTTGTTCTTTTCTAACATGGTCCCCACATTTTTTTGACTACGAGCATGGAATGGAATGTCAACTCTGCCAGCAGTTCCTAGACGATGTGAGAGTAGGCACGTTTCTTAATTGTCCCGCACTGTCCTCATCTCCAAAAAGGAGAGATCACAGTCACCTCCCAGGGTCACCAGGAACAGATACATATGCAAGTCCTCACAGTTGCCAAAGCATGAATTGTGCTCCATCAACTCCATGCTGTGTTACTTAAAAAAAAAAAAAGTTTCAACAACTTTACAGGTAAATAAACTCGAGTTGTTGCCTCAAAGAACATTACTATGGGGAAAAATCATCCTGGATAATTTCCCTATTGTATTTCCCTTAATTTTAGGAGATTAAAATAGCAGAGGATTTTTAAGTAATAAAAACACAAATGATTTTAAAAAGGGTGTTAGGTTATCTATCATTTACTTTTTTTAGGTTTACTGAGGGATAACTGACAAAATTCTAAGATATTTAAAGTGTACAATGTGATGATTTTATACGCCTAGACAGTGTAAAAGGATTCCCCCACTGAGAGAATTAACACATCCATCAACCCATATGTTTATCCTTTGTTGTCACTGTTGTTGAGAACATTGAAGTTCTACTCTCCTAGTAAATTTCAATTATACAATACAGTGCTTTCAACTGTAGTCACCACATTACATGTTAGGTCCTTAGATCTTACTCATCTTGTAAGTAAAAGTTTATGCCCTTTTACCAACTGCTGCCTATTTTCCCTACCCTCTGGCAATATTCCACATGTAAGTGATACCATGTAGTATTTGTCTTTCTCTGCCTGGCTTATTTTGTTTCATATAATGCCCTCGAGATTCATCTGTGCTGTTCCCAATGACGGGATTTCCTTCTTTTTTAAGGCTGAAAATACTCCTTTCTATTTGGGTCCAGGTGTGTGTGCGCACACGTGCGTATCTCTCATCTTCTTATTCCCTTTGTCCGCTGACCGACACTTAGGCTGTTTCCATACCTTGGCTATTGTGAATAATGCTGTTATGAATATAGGAGTGCAGGTACCTCTATGAGATAATGGTTTTGTTTCCTTTAGCTGTATCCTCAGAAGTGAGATTGCTGGGTCATAGGGTACTGCGACTGTCAGTGTCTTATGGAACCTCCCTACCATTCTCCAGAGTGGCTGCACCATTTGACATTCCTGCCAACACTGCACAAGGGTTCCCTTTTCTCCACATCCTCACCAGCATTTGTCATTTCGCATTTTTGAAGAGAGCCATTCTAAAAGGTGTGAGGTGAAAAATAGCATCTTTCACGGAGCTAGAACAAACATCCTAAAAGCCATTCTAAAAGGTGTGAGGTGAAAAATAGCATCTTTCACGGAGCTAGAACAAACAATCCTAAAATTTGTATGGAACCACAAAAGACCCTGAATAGCCAAAGCAATCTAGAAAAAGCAAAGCAAAGCTGGAGGCATCACAATTCTGGACTTCAAGTTATATTACAAAGCTGTAATGATCACAACCATATGTTACTGGTATAAAAATAGACTCACAGATCAATGGAACAGAACAGAAAATCCAGAAATGACTCCACAATGATACGGTCAACTAATCCTCAAAAAAACAGGAAAGAATATCCAATAGGAAAAGGGACGGTGTCTAACAAATGGTGTTGGGAAAACTGGACAGCCACATGCAGAAGAATGAAACTGGACCACTTTCTCACACCATACACAAAGGTAAGTTCAAAACGGATTAAAAACCTAAATGTGAGACCTGAAACCATAAAAATCCTACAAGAAAACACAGGCAGTAACTTTTTTGACCCTGGTTGTAGAAACTTCTTTCTAGATATGTCTCCTGAGGCAAGGGGAAGAAAAGCAAAAATAAACTACCGGGATTTCATCAACATAAAAAGCTTCTGCACAGCAAAGGAAACAATCAATACAACTAAAAAAAAAAAAAAAAAAAGGTAAGTTATGAAATGGGAGAAGATATCTTCAAATGATATATCCAATAAAGGGTATCCAAAATATATAAAGAACTGATCAACTCAGCACCCCAAAAAACAAATAATCCAATTAAAAATGGGCAGAAAACATGAGTGGATATTTTTCCAAGGACATCCAAATGGCCAACAGACACATGAAAACTCATCATCAGGGATATACACATCAATACTAAAATGAGATACCACCTCACACCTGTCAGATGGCTAAAATCAACAACACAAGGAACAGGTGTTGGTGAGGATGTGGAGAAAGGGGAACTCTCTTAACACAGTTGGTGGGAATACAAACTGGTGCAGCCACTCTGGAAAACAGTATGGAGGTTCCTCAAAAAGTTAAAAATAGAACTACCCTATGACCCAGCAATCACACTACTGGGTATTTACCCAAAGGATACAAAAATACTAATTCAAAGGGGTATCTACACCCTGATGTTTATAGCAGAATTATCTACAATAGCAAATTATGGAAATAGCCCAAGTGTCCATTAACTGATGAATGGGTAAAGAAAATGTGATACACACACACACACAGAGGAATATTACTCAGCCATAAAAAAGAATGAAATCCTGCCATTTGCAATGACATGGATGGGGCTA